ATTCCTTTCACCCACAGTCTTCATATTTGGCATGGATGTTGATCATGATTAGTAGATGACCCTTTTTGATTTTGAGGTCACTGGATCAAAGGTCAAGGTCATAGGGACTTTGACTTTAAAAAGTTTGTCCCCCCATTAACTTAAGATTCCTTTGACCCACAGTCTTCATATTTGGCATGGATGTTGATCATGACTATAAGGTGACCCCTATTGATTTTGAGGTCACTGGGTCAAAGGTCAAGGTCACAGGGACCTTGACAAAAAAAAAGCTTTTCTTCTTAATTGCTAAAGAATGTCGTGTCCGCAATGTATTGATTTTGACATTTTCACATTTGAAGCATGTAGAATACATAACTTAGCAATGCACTGGCTTAGTAACCTCAGATTTGGCAGGGAGGTTGTCCTTGAGCTCTAAATGGCCACTGTTGATTCTGACAAAGTGGTATGCGGGGGTATTCACGCCATGATAGTGGCAGTTCTAGTTTCTTTATGGACTTACTTTAAATTCAAAATAAACATTCATTATTGACACCTACATAATATTTGTTTATTCATTTATCTTTGAATTTTATCATTTTATCTTTGTTACTATACATTATAATGGTATATTTGAAATTTTTTATTTATTTTTTTTACTTTTCTTCTTTGTGACTATAAATGGTATTTTTAAACTTGAAATAATTGTTCTTTGTTACACTCATATCATGTATGACATGATGTTCATAAATCTAGCATCTTTATTTCAAGAGTTATCTCCTCTTTAAGAATTTGCTTTAAAAATGTTATATTTTGGTTACAAGGATGTTTAAAAAAATAACTTAAATAGGGTCTCCTTCAGTCTGTCTGCCTGTGTGCTCATAAAAACTGTTTCCTGAGATCACTGTTAAAGATTTTTTCCAACAAATAGATTTACTTAAAAAAGAGAAAAGTTGAAACATTAGTTATACTTATTCATCCTGAGAAAATTGGACCTTTTGATTATCTGTTGTATAAACATAATTTTCTTACTAGGAAGGGAAAGTTAACAGATTACTGTGGTACAGTCAAAAGATTTAAGTTCATTCATGTCATGTCATTCATTCATTCAATGGTATAACTGAATGACCAATGGCCCATCAGAATGTTGCTGGGGTTCTAACGGTAGGGGACTTATGGATTGCTTGCAATACTATGATAATCGCTTGTTAATAATGAATTTTTACCCAATTGATTATGGGTTCTTAATTTAGTAACAATTACTTATCAAACTCAAAATTTAACATTTTGACCATTAAAAGACTGTTCAAAGTATAGCATTATAAGAGCAAGAAAAAATGTATAGACAACTCAATTTACTGTACAATGTGTTTCGTCATGAATTTAACTTCATCTTTAAATCCTCAACAACTGATGAATGGCAGAGTTAAGATATTGGCAAAAACCCAAATTGACACTAAGAATAAATACAAGAACCACGCAAATTACGAAGAGGCCAGAATATGGGGTGCAAGGGCAATACAACACTATTAACACAATGAATGTATTGATTCTTTATAAATCATTTAACATATTGAGTATTCAGGGTTTTTGTTTGTTTTGTTTTTTTTTCCTTGTTTATTTTTTCAAAACTTGAAAATAGTTGTAACACATTCACTCTTCATGATATAACCATGGCTTGCAAGCTAATTGCAATACCAGCATGAACTATCCTTTTCTATTTGTATTTCTTTGTAATCAAACAGCAACGAAAAACTGTGTGGAATAAAAGTAAAATATTCTTTGTTTGGAAACATCCTTTTTATCTTAAAGTTTTATTATGATCATCTGCTAAGATAATGTAATAACCCATGAAGTGCCTCAATATTTGTGCATGCGCAGAAAAGATTAATCCCCGCCGTGACCCGGTTATGAAATAACATAAGTAAACAAAATTAATGAGCATGTATTGTCCAAAAACATTGACCTGGCACTCTTGCATTTGACCTTGTAGTCAGTGTATTCTGTAGATTGCATCTGCTTGTAAATTGATATGAATGTAAATACCCAATTGGTAACATAATGTAAATCAAAAGTCCCTCTTAGCGCAGTTGGGAAAGGGGTTTCACTTGATGGATTTAACGTAAACTGGAAGGTTGGAATCCTATGTCAGCAATTTATTTTTTATATCATTTTCAAAATTGTCATTAATTTAAAACTTTTGTAAACCTTTTATCTATGTTGTATTTTAAATAACTGCCTTTATAACATGTATGCACTTAATCATATATGATAATGACATAAAGAGAACCTTTGAAAGATACTGTGATGAAATAAAAAAAATAATTATGTATAAAATCACTACTTAAAATATATTCTAAAACCAGGTGTAGTAAAACGTTTTCAAATTAATTCTTGAAAGTTAATTAAAAAAGATGATAATGTGGTGTTGGTAAGGCTATGAACCAGAGACCTTCAGATCAGTAGTCCGACATCTGTACCAATACACTACATCTCACTGAGGAGTGAAGTTAGCAAATATATGGATATATTTGATAGGTACTGGACAGTGTTTATTCAAATGACCTTTACGAAAGTTTAATTTGAATGATATGCCAGGTCAATATTGTTGGACAATAAGTAAATATAGAAACTGAATCAACAATATTTAAGGATTGTAGTTTTGTTGCGGAAAGTGTCTTTACAATTCCAACCAGATAACCTTGGAATAGAAACAAATATAATTTAAAGGGCATTTTCTACAGCAATAAATTTTGTCAGGTAAAAATATGAAGGATCCAAGTATGTTCTTTTTTGTCCCCAACCTTATCTTTAAAAAAAAGGGGGATATAGAAATAGGCTCTGTTTGTCTGTCCGTCCGTCCATCACACTTTTGTGTCCGGTCCATTAACTTCATTTATCAAAGGAATCTGAAATAACTTGGCACAAATGTTTGTTATAATAAGACGATGTGTTATGAGCAACAACCAGATTCCTACCTCCAGGGTCAAGGTCGCACTTGCTCATTCAAGATCAACATTGTCTATTTGAGGGTATATGTCGTGTCCGGTCCATAACTTTCTTATCTGTGAAGGGATTTTGTAAATACTTGCCACAATTGTTCACAATAATGAGACGATGTGTCTTGCGCAACAACTGGTCACCTACCTCCAAGGTCAAGGTCACACCTGGAGGTCAAAGATTAACATAGTCTGTTTTAGGGTATATTTTGTGTCCTGTCCATAACTTTCTCAATTATCAAAGGAATCTGAAATAACTTGGCACAAATGTTTGTTATAATAAGACAATGTGTCATGCTCAAAACCAGACCCCAACTTCCAGAGTCAAGGTCGTACTTGCTCATTCAAGATCAACATTGTCTATATCAGGGTATATGTCATGTCCGGTCCATAACTTTCTTATCTGTGAAGGGATGTTGTAAATACTTGCCACAATTGTTCACAATAATGAGATGATGTGTCATGCACAACAACCTGTCACATACCTCCAAGGTCAAGGTCACACTTGGAGGTCAAAGATTTACATAGTCTGTTACAGGGTATATTTTGTGTGTGGTCCATTACTTTTTCATAGATCAAAGGATTTTGTTATAACTAGGCACAAATAGTCACAATAATAAGACGATATGTCAAGTACAACACCTGCACCCCTACCTCCAAGGGTAAGGTCCCACTTAGAGGTCAAAGGTTAACAGCGTCTGTTATAGGGTGTATTTTGTGTCCCGTCAATAACTTCTTCATAGATCAAGGGATTTTGAAAATACTTGGCACAAATAGTCACAATGATAAGATGATATGTCAGGCGCAAAGCATGGGTTCTACCTCCAAGGTCACAATTAGAGGTCAAAGATTAACATAGTCTGTTATAGGGTACATTTTATGTCCAATCTATTACTTCTTCATAGTTCGAGGGATTTTGAAAATACTTGGCACAAAAAGTAACAATAATAAGACGATATGTCATGCACAACACCTGCGTCCCTACCACCAAGGTCAAGGTCACACCTAGAGGTCAAAGCTTAACATAATAGATTTTTTAAATTCCTTGTTTCATTTAATTTCTTTAATAAATTTATTGTTGCATTTGCAGATATATCATTGATCATTAGGGGTGTAACAATACGGCAAAAAACGTATTGCAATATATTGCCATTTTGCTGAAGCGTATTGCAATATATTGCAATACGTATTGTCGTGTATATGTTTTGATATAAAGTCTTTTAAGATGGAGTTACATTATATAGTATTATTATATGTATATATTTTTAGTAGAAACTTAATATAAATGTAAGGAATGAATAGAAAGTAAAGTGTCACACAATTTGATAAACAAAACTAGTCACATGTGACCTTTCACATCTGGGCCGCTTATGTAAATTATGCGGCCGCTTATTGATTTTTAAGTGTACTAGTTGTCGGATACTTTTACCTTACGTTGGTGCCAATAAAATTCGCCAATTAAAGATTTTATGTGAAATTTGTACAAAATTAGAAGGCAATTAATTGAAAATTATGATTTTTATAAAATACCGGTTTTCCAAAAATCGTACCGTGGTACGAAATTTATTTTTTCATATTGCAATATATCGGTATACCGGTAAACCGTTACACCCTTATTGATCATAATCTTGGACTGAAAGTCCTGAGATCCATACCTCAATCTTTTGAAATAGCACAATTTTATGCTTCATATTAAACTTCCCCGAGGCGGGGGACGTTGGTATCTCTGTTACAAATTCTTGTTCAAAATGAGAACAATAGTTTTTTAAACTATAGAGAGCAGATACATGTATATAGATATACAGCTTTATACACTTTAAAGGAGGGATTTAAGTCTTATGTGGTAATATTAGATTATCTCTCTCAGGTTCATGCTTTTATAACCTTCCAAATTAATGATAAAAACTTATTAGTTTTAGTGTTTAACTTACATAATATTAACCTTAACAATTTGGGAAAGCCATTATTCATGTATTAAGCATTTAAAATAATAATTTGTTTTGTTTTTAAATTGTTCAATTTCAGTTATATGACCTGATGACAATGGCTTTCAAGTACCAGGTATCGTTGGCATTATGCCCAAAAGATATATTGCTGATTACCCTAAATCATATGGACGCCATACGGAAGTTTGTGGATGGACAGACAAACATTCTACAGCAAGTGGAACATGTTTATAGACTTCTACTAGAGGTACATGTAAATAAAAGTTATCTTGCTTGTATTTCTTAGCCCTTAACCTGCTGGAACCAAGAAAGATAAACTATTGCCACCAGTATAGAGCCAGACCAGCCTGCACTTCTGTGTAGTCTATCCAGGCTTTATACTGTTGGTAGCTCAGTTTTTAGCTCACCTGACCACGAAGTGGTCATGGTGAGGTATAGTGATGGGGCTATGTCCGGCGTCCGTCGTCGTGCGTCGTTCGTTGTCAACAATTGGGTTGTTAACAGTCTAGCAGTCACAGTTTTGATTGGATCATCATCAAACTTTGTCAGAATGTTTGTCTCAATGAAATACAGATCGAGTGTGAAGATGGGTTATCTCGGGTCAATAACTAGGTCACAGGAGCTAAAAATAGAAAAAGCTTGTTAACACTCTAGAGGCTGCAATTTTCATCCAAATATTCTGGAAATTTGTCAGGAAGGTTGTTTTGATAATATCTAGGTCAAGTTCGAAGATGGGTCATCTCCGGTCAAAAACTAGGTCACAGGAGCTAAAAATAGAAAAAGCTTGTTAACACTCTAACAATTGGGTTGTTAACAGTCTAGCAGTCACAGTTTGGATTGGATCATCATTCAACTTTGTCAGAATGTTTGTCTCAATGAAATACAGATCGAGTTCGAAGATGGGTTATCTCGGGTCAAAAACTAGGTCACAGGAGCTAAAAATAGAAAAAGCTTGTTATCACTCTAGAGGCTGCAGTTTTCATCCAAATATTCTGGAAATTTGTCAGGAAGGTTGTTTTGATGATATCTAGGTCAAGTTCAAAGATGGATCATCTTCGGTCAAAAACTAGGTCACAGGAGCTAAAAATAGAAAAAAGCTTGTTAACACTCTAGTGGCTGCAGTTTTCATCCAAATATTCTGGAAATTTGTCAGGAAGGTTGTTTTGATGATATCTAGGTCAAATTCGAAGATGGGTCATCTCCGGTCAAAAACTAGGTCACAGGAGCTAAAAATAGAAAAAGCTTGTTAACACTCTAGTGGCTGCAGTTTTCATCCAAATATTTTGGAAATTTGTCAGGAAGGTTGTTTTGATGATTTCTAGGTCAAGTTCGAAGATGGATCATCTTCGGTCAAAAACTAGGTCACAGGAGCTAAAAATAGAAAAAGCTTGTTAACACTCTAGTGGCTGCAGTTTTCATCCAAATATTCTGGAAATTTGTCAGGAAGGTTGTTTTGATGATATCTAGGTCAAGTTCGAAGATGGGTCATCTCCGGTCAAAAACTAGGTCACAGGAGCTAAAAATAGAAAAAAGCTTGTTAACACTCTAGTGGCTGCAGTTTTCATCCAAATATTCTGGAAATTTGTCAGGAAAGTTGTTTTGATGATTTCTAGGTCAAGTTCGACAATGGGTCATCTCCGGTCAAAAACTAGGTCACAGGAGCTAAAAATAGAAAAGGCTTGTTAACACTCTAGTGGCTGCAGTTTTCATCCAAACATTCTGGAAATTAGTCAAGAAGGTTGTTTTGATGATATCTAGGTCAAGTTCGAAGATGGGTCATCTCAGGTCAAAAACTAGGTCACAGGAGCTAAAAATAGAAAAAGCTTGTTAACACTCTAGTGGCTGCAGTTTTCATCTAAATATTCAGGAAATTTGTCAAAAAGGTTGTTTTGATGATTTCTAGGTCAAGTTCGAAGATGGATCATCTTCAGTCAAAAACTAGGTCACAGGAGCTAAAAATAGAAAAAGCTTGTTAACACTCTAGTGGCTGCAGTTTTCATCCAAATATTCTGGAAATTTGTCAGGAAGGTTGTTTTGATGATATCTAGGTCAAGTTCGAAGATGGGTCATCTCCGGTCAAAAACTAGGTCACAGGAGCTAAAAATAGAAAAAAGCTTGTTAACACTCTAGTGGCTGCAGTTTTCATCCAAATATTCTGGAAATTTGTCAGGAAAGTTGTTTTGATGATTTCTAGGTCAAGTTCGAAGATGGGTCATCTCCGGTCAAAAACTAGGTCACAGGAGCTAAAAATAGAAAAGGCTTGTTAACACTCTAGTGGCTGCAGTTTTCATCCAAACATTCTGGAAATTAGTCAAGAAGGTTGTTTTGATGATATTTATGTCAAGTTCGAAGATGGGTCATCTCAGGTCAAAAACTAGGTCACAGGAGCTAAAAATAGAAAAAGCTTGTTAACACTCTAGTGGCTGCAGTTTTCATCTAAATATTCTGGAAATTTGTCAAAAAGGTTGTTTTGATGATTTCTAGGTCAAGTTCAAAGATGGGTTATCTCCGGTCAAAAACTAAGTCACAGGAGTTAAAAATAGAAAAAGCTTGTAAACACTCTAGTGGCTGCAGTATTGAGTCAAATATTCTGGAAATTTGTCAGGAAGGTTGTTTTGATGATTTCTGGGTCAAGTTTGAAGATGGGTCATCTTAGGTCAAAAATTCGGTCACAGGAGCTAAAAATAGAAAAAGCTTGTTTACACTCTAGTGGCTGCAGTTTTGATTCAAATATTCTGGAAATTTGTCAGGAAGGTTGTTTTGATGATTTCTGGGTCAAGTGCTAAGATTGGTCATGTCCGGTCAAAAAAAAGGTCACAGGAGCTAAAAATAGAAAAATCTTTTTAACACTCTAGTGGCTGCAGTTTTGATCCAAATTTCCTGGAAATTGGTCAGGAAGGTTGTTTTGATGATTTCTAGGTCAAGTTTGAATATGGGTCGTGTCCGGTCAAAAATTTGGTCACATTGCTCAAATATGTAAAAATCTTTATAACACACTAGAGGTCACATGTTTGACTCAGTTGTCATCAAACTTGGCCATGATGCTTGTTTAAGACATTGCTTGGATGCGGTTGTGTCAGGTGAGCGATCCAGGGCCATCATGGCCCTCTTGTTATTTGTTTGGGTCGTCAGACCAAACAAATAATTGTAGCGAAATTTTAGACCCTGATGCTGTTAATTGCGAATGCCGAAAGAAGTCCGCTTTTTTGAAGCGGTTACTTCCCTTTATATGTGTACACTAACTCCCAAAAATTCAGGGGAGACAACTGCGTAAAGATTGTCAAATGACAGGCGCATTAATTTTTAAGCAAAATAGTTCCCGAATGGTTGAAGATTTCTAATATTGTTTTATTCTTTATAGATATACATGCTTATAGTAAGCTCCATGAGTATTTACATCTGTGTTAAACAACAGGTTTAGCGTCAAAATAATAAATTTAGAATAATATGGTTTTCTTCAGGCCGTTAACATATAACTTCACCGTGGCCGAGGGGTTTGCAAGCACGCTTAGGAAGCGAGAGGTCTTGAGTTCAAATCCCAGTTAAGGCAACTCATTTTTTTTAAATTGTTTAAAGTCAAATAAACATTGAATTGAATATGAGAGTTGCAATTAGATTTATAGCCAATTTACTAAAACACTGGAAAACATTGGTGGCACTATACAAAAACAAATTGGTTTATAATCTCACAACCTTCACCTTTCTGACATTCTGAGACCCAAACAAATTCAGCGACTTCTGTGCTTTGATTGTATTTTGATATTGAAAATCTAACTGCAGAACAAACCAATTTTACAGCAGCAGGTTAAAGCAGGTTAAAGGCCCTTTAAATATAGAAATGAAGATGATTGTTCAAGTGAAAGAAAGGGCAAACGTAAATTATACTCCCAAGAAACAAAGTACACAATACCGGCACGTTCCGCTTTTGCTGCACAAAATGGCCGTCAGAGCTTTAAATAGAAAAATCTTGTCCAGCTTTCATAGGTCAAGCTACTGGTGGGATTTCAATGAAACTTTACATGAGTGACCATCCATAGTTTTTGGAAACATGTTTTTGTGACAAAAACCTTTTTAGTTTTTTATATTACTTGAACTATGCTGTTGTTAAAAATAGATAGCTCATTTACTATAATCAAGTGCTGGGACAAAAAAAATAAACACATATTAGAATATGACTTCCTGTACATGTGTAATAGATGTGTAAAGAATAATAATACAATGTGACGTCATTTACGACGTCACATCATTAATTTGGTACCCAGTTCTGTGCACGCTGGTATTTCACTGAAACAACGTAAGGGGCTTAAATTCAAAGCAGTGAAATTATCAAAGTGGTAATTTCACTGTTTCAAACAGTGAAATTACAAGTTTTATATCACTGATATATTTCTATAAACCACCGAAAAGCATGTAATAAAAACACATATTTATAATATTTAATTTTATTACAGCTGTTTATTATGTAAAATAGACATATAAATATGTGGATTTCAAATTCCATTTAAATAAATACACATGACAACATATATGTAATAAAAACACCAGTTGACCACATGTGTAATTAACATTGTTCTAAGACGTAAATTGTTCCAATTATAACACTGACACTTTTATCTCGACATGTTACCGAAGTGTCACACAATTTGATGATACAGTTTAATAAACAAACTAATAGCGTGTGACCGTTCACATCTGGGCCGCTTATACTAATTTCCATGGCCATTTATTGACTTTTAAGTGTACTAGTAGTCGGATATTTTTATCACACGTTTAAGTGAAAGCACATGGCCATAAAATACCAAATTTCCATGGGTATGCTTTTCCATGTGCTTATCGTGCAAGGTGTACATGACAAATCGATAACTTAAGTACAGGATTATGAGGTCCTAGTTCAGGTGTATCGTAAGCGGAATTATGATTTTAATATGATGATAATAGGACTGAAATATGCAATGTCAAAAAGGTGATCCTTAGCAAATATTGAGTAGTATATATGTTCCTTACCGCCAACCACATCATATATAACTTAGTTCATAACTCTAGAAGGAATATTTTCAGAATTATTAACCCTTAAACTTAGAATTTTCTTTTTAAGAATAGTTTTACTTCTTCATTGTGTAGCCTTGAAAAGGCGACATATAGGGGTTAGATTTGTGTAGCGCCGGTACTCTGCACTTCTTATTTTTTGAGTTATTGCCCTTTGTTAATTTTCATACTTTATTTTTGTCCAGGCCATTTCTCCTAAACAATAACAGCTATTGACTTCATAGGAGATAGATCTCATTAAAAAGAAGTGCAGTGCACAAGAACCGGTACTCAGCTGTTCTTTTTTTTTTAGTTATTACCCTTTGTCAATGTTCATACTTTATTATTATCCGGGCCATTTCTCCTAAACTATAAAGATCTGGACATGAAACTTCATAGGATGATAGATCTCATTAAGAAGAAGTGCAGTGCACAGGAACCGGTACTCTTCAGTTCTTAATATAAGAGTTATTGCCCCTTGTTAATTATTATACTTTATTTTTGTCCGGGCTAATTCTCCAACACAATAAAAGCTATTGTTACAATCAGTTCAAATGCCACTAAAGTTCAAGGTACATGTACATTGTACGAGTGGTGTTTATAGATAACCCATATTTAAGAAGAAAATGCCTAATTGATAGCTATACTGTTCACAAGGCGAAGTTCTAGTCTTAAAATCTTAGAACAGGTATGCAGCCTAAAAAAAGGGAGGTAAAGAGACTCCAAAAACAGAACTTTAGTTTGTCCTAATAACCTGATTTAGGTAATATTACCATGTTTGTGTTTGTATCATAATAAATACTGATACCTAGATACAGCATATAAATGGTCCTTATTGAAAAGCTAATTTCACCTGTGGATTTATCATGCAGGGTATGTCTTTCTTACAAGTTTGTATCATCAGACAATCCCACAGATTTGAATGAATTCAAAAGTTTCATTTTGATAAAATTGTGTCTTTTGTACTACTTATTGTGATAATCTATTAAAGTATATTGATTATGTTATATTGATTATTATAATATAAAATCCGCTTCTTTAGTTGGCTTGTGCAAACATTGAAAGGTGAATTCTTAGCACTTTTTAGTTTATGCCAATATTATTATTTCATTGATGTCCTTAGATGTGAAAATATTTATTTATAATTTGTTCCATTGTTATTTGCAATTTTTTTATTAGGATAGCCATAAGCTGTAGATATCTTACATAAAATCACAGATAAAACATGTTGTATGATATTCTGTAATGATTAATAATTTAAACTATATTTTTGATTTGCTGTTTCAGTCTTTTGGTCCAATGACATCTGGAGGTTTCCATCTAATAAGACAAACCTTGCTAAACTTTTTTCAGGACATGCATATTAGAGTAAGTACCTGACATCATATTTCCTTGAAATTGGCCCTGCTCCGAGAGTTGCTTGCTTTATGTAGACTAAGGTATACGAAAACACATCTTACTTTTTTTTTAATACATTTGGCTTATAGCTTTGCCTAGTAAACCTCTGTAAAAAGTTTAATGTTTCATGCACTTTGTGGTCATACAGTATCATAAGGATAATTAAGATTTTTCAAACAAGCTTCTTGATTGGGTCTCTCCCATAATTATTGAAAGATTATTTTTTATTACTAAAACAAATTTACATTCAGATGTATATTGCCCTGCCTTCACGGTGCCTTTGTCACTCTCAAATATCAATCTTATTTATAATTATGTGTCCCAAAATTTTTGGGAGACTTTGCCTTTGCCGTCTGTCCATCAGTGCTATTTATACCCCCAAAACGAAGTATATATAGGAGTCACCCGGTGGTCGGTCGTCCAGCGGTCCATTGCATTGTTCGGAGCATAACTTGAAAACTAATGGTTGAAATTCAATATAACTTCATACAATGGAATAATACTTTAATATGCACATTGAGAGAAAGTGCAGTGCACAAGAACCATAACTCCATCTTGGCTGCACAAAATGGCCGCCAGAACTAAATATAAAAAATCTTGTCTGGCCTTCACATGTCAAACTATTGCTGGTGGGATTTCAATGAAACTTTACAGGAGGGATCAGTACCATCCCTAGTTGTGCACATCACTGGCATGTTTGGCTTCTCTGCACAAAATGGCCACCAGAGCTAAAAAATAGAAAAATCTTGTCCGGCTTTCACAGGTCAAACTACAGGTGGGATTCCAACCATACTGTACAGAAGTGATCAGTACCATCCTTAGTTGTGCACATTACTGGCATGTTTGGCTTTGCTGCACAAAATGGCCACCAGAGCTAAAAATAGAAAAATCTTGTCCGGCCTTCACAGATCAAACTACTGGTGGGATTTCAACCAAACTTTACAGGAGTGATCAGTACCATCCGTAGACACGTTTCACTTCACTGCACAAAAGGGCCACCCGAGTTAAAAAAAGAAAAATCTTTTCCGCCTTTCACAGGTCAAACTACTGGTGGGATTCCAACCAAACTTTTCAGGATCTTTAGTTGTGCACATTACCACCATGTTTTGCTTTGCTGCACAAAATTGCTGCCTGAGCTAAAAATAGAAAAATCTTGTCCGACCTTCACAGGCCAAACTACTGGTGGGATTTCAACCAAACTTTACAGGAGTGATCAGTACCGTCTATAGTTGTGCATATAGCCAGCATGTTACACTTTGCTGCACAAAATAAATGGCCACCAAGGCTAAAAATAGAAAAATCTTATCCCACCTTCACAGGTCATACTACTGGTGGGATTTCAATCATATTTTACAGGAGTGATCAGTACCATCTCTTGTTGTGCACATCACTGGCATGTACTCTTAGCCGCACAAAATGGCCGCCAAAGCTCAAAATAGAAAAATCTTGTGCGGCTTTCACAGGTCAAACTATTGCTGGGATTTCAACCAAACTTTACAGGAGTGATCAGTACCATTCTGAGATGTGCGCAGTACCGGCATGTTTCACTTCGCTGCACAAAATGGCCACCAGAGCTGAAAATTAAAAAATCTTGTCTGGCTTTCACAGATCAAACTACTGGTGGGATTTCAACCAAACTTTTCAGGAGTGATCAGTACAATCCTTAGTTATGCACATCACCAGCACTTTCCGCTTTGCTGCACAAAATGGCCCCAAACGCTAAAAGTAGAAAAATTTTGTCCAACCTTCACAGGTCAAACTACTGGTGGGATTTCAACCAAACTTTACAGGAGTGATCAGTACCATCTATAGTTGTGCATATAGCCAGCATGTTACGCTTTGCTGCACAAAATGGCCACCAGAGCTAAAAATAGAAAAATCTTGTCCAGCCTTCACAGGTTATATTTCTGGTGGGATTTCAACCAAACTTTACTGGAGTGATCAGTACCATCCCTAGTTATGCACATAACTGGCACGTTTTACTCGCTGCACAAAATGGGTGCCAGAGCTAAAAATAGAAAAATCTTGTCCGGCCTTCACAGGTCAAACTGTTGGTGGGATTTCAACCAAACTTTACAGGATTACAGGAGTGATCATTACCATCCGTAGTTGTTAATATCGCTGGCATGTTATTGCATTGCTGCATAAAATTGCAGCCAGAGCTATAAATACAAAAAATCTTGTTGTGCTTTCACAAGTCAAGCTGCTGGTGGGGTTTCAATGAAGCCACATGAGTGACCATACATAGTTTTGGGAGACATATGTTTTTGTGACAAAAACCCTTCTAGTTCAGAGTGTTTTTACTTTCAAAGTATATAATTGTATCAAGTGGCCATATATAGCCATGGATTAGTGGAGTAATCTGTGTGCTATAGACACATTTCTAGTTATTTAGATTGGAAGATGGACATGTCCATTTAAAATGTTTTGCATGGTAAGGGTTTAGGTAATTCACCTCGGATCAAATACTGTTCACAACAATTGGTATCTAGCTGGGACAACATTGTGCATGACCTGTATATACCAGGCTTGACATGCTTTTCTGCCTGAATTAGTGCTCTTTTGATTACTTTTGTAATTGACTTGCTCTTGATATACGAGGGTTGTCCAAAAAATTCGTGCACTGCAGTTATTGTTGTGAGAGTCATAAATAAAAAGCATGAATTATATATCACTTGAAGGGGAAATCTTGTCTCAAAAAAGAAAACAAAAGAAAAAGCCATGTAATCGGCATGTCGTGAAAACACATCGTCATACAGTTACCTTAGTAACATAATACCGGCGCTTGACAAAAAATTGGGTTTGGACAACCCTCGTATCTAATTGTCATGACATTGTGTGATGACTTTTTTTTATAAACTTTTATTATTACAGGTTTCTATATTTCTGAAAGACAAGGTGCAGACAAGTGCTGGTAGATTTGTGTTACCTACTGGCGGACCATTGCCATGGGGTACTCAAGTACCAGGGACTATAAAGTGAGCTTTAATATAATACAATGTACATAAGTATAAATATCATAATTTTCATGTAATATACTTGTCTGTGTTTAATCGTTTGAGTGGTGGTGGTTGAAATGATGAGAATATAGTACATGTATTGAGCCTGCCACTGGCCAGCTTGACATTGCATCAGACTTATCAGTCTCTGCACTGCATTTTAATACCAAAATCCCTTTATCAGCTGTTCAACATTTAAAAGTATGGATACTCCAATGAAATATTCAGCAAAGGGTAAATGAATGTGCTCTTCAATGTTTATAAAATTGCCAACTTCTTTTACCACTGTAACTTTAGTGGTGTAAATTTTAATTTGGACAGCATTTCCTTATATTTCTCATTTCAAAAATAATCACCAAAGCTGTGTAAGGGTATTCAGTAAAACTAAAATGTTGCCATTTGGTTTTAATAATATTAAAATGACTCAAGCAAAAAAGAGAAACTGGTTAATCTCCTTCAACTTTAGTTTTATTCAGAAATATGAAGGTTGTCCTATGCACAATAATTTAATTGTACTTTCTACAAGAATCAGTCATGTATTGAAAGTTTTCATATTATTCTATGTTTTGAACTTTTGAATATTAATCTTAATGATAATTTCCTTAGTCTGACAAATCTTGGTAATTATTGTCACTTACACTACATAATATTATTAAAGGAACTCCACTGAGGTTCAAACCCCAAAAAATGTAAAATTTAAAACTATTACATAGTTCTTCTGTGGCACTAGAAACAGGAAACTTAGGAATGATAATAAAGAAATAAACTCTGAATTAAATTTTAAAATTAATATGAAGTGACATACTTAGCTGGATTATTTAAAGGTTTTGAAACATTCTTCACTTTTAGGTAATTTTACAAAAAAAAAAGATTAGTTTTGAAAAAAGAGTGAAAGAATGATCTGACATTTTGCCCAAGAGTTATTCATATAGACCTCATCAAAATCTATAATATCTCCAAACATATTTCAGTCTCATGCCAACATAACCTTCATTTAGTCTATTTAGTAGACAGTCACAGATTGAAGCCAGGATAAGAACAATTTTAGCAAGATAAAAGTTAAATGTAAAAATGTTGTGCTATTGTAGGAATTATGATGAGAAAGGGAGGGAGAGTAAGTCAGCAAGTTTTCCTGCAGGAGGCAATTATCATCAGCTGGCTAAACCAGGCTCTATAGATATCAAAGGTGACAGAGTAACAAAGCTAGGAACCAATATGTAAGTTGTAAAACTGATTAGCCTGTCTCACCAGTGTAGAGCCCGGAAATCTGCTGTTTGACCAGACTGTATATTGTGGGCTGGCTGACATAAAGTTTTCATATTGATATTCATGAACAGTCCCAAAAATGGCAGCTAGACAAGTCTTATCTTAAAAATTCAGCAACTTATGTTTTTACTCATTAGCATTTGTGTCAGAAATGGAAACTTCAGTTACTTTATACAGAACTTATTTAAGTCCCATTTGTTATGAGAGCTATAAGCTTTTAGACACTCTTGAATCCGTTCTTGGAACCAACAGGTACTGAGCGATGAGTGAAAGATTAACAACTGTTCAGCTTGTCCTAGATGGGATTTGAACCTTTACATTTTTAGATTGCTTGTCTGAAGTGTTACCCCTGGATCACTGTGGAAACATAGTTGTTTTCATAGTAGTACTCAAATCAAACTCCTTAAGGTATATTGTTTAACACCTGGCTTTTTCATACTTATAAAATTGTTTTTCAAACTTGTGAATTGTTTTCATATCTCATCTTGAAAAATACTTTATATGTTTATACAATAGAAAACGAACATTCATTTTAAAGACAGGTTTACTTTTAGTTTTATTTCTACATGTTATGAATGATTTGTAATAAAAACTTTTTATTCATGTATGTAACATCAAAGAAGATAGAGTTATTTCACACCAAGCTAATAAGAAAAAATAGACCCAAAAACTTTCCTTTTCCTGCAATAGTCTTTGATCAATGAATTATGAACATATACATACTTGACTTGCTCATGAACAATGAATCTTATCTGGTTATGGTTTATTTCAGGTATTCAGTTGCAAGGCCTGTTGATACTCAAACATTAGACAAACCCAAAACTACTCCTATGTCAGACATTGTAAGTATACATTTAAAGATAGAATGATGTCTCATGTTTGATATAGACTAATAAAATCAAGATAATTATTATAATTATATAAACCTATACAATTTGTTTAACTACATTCTATTACTCTAAATCTGTTATTGGCATCTGAATCTATTCATGTGACATGCACCAACCAATATCAGCCAGCACATCCCTGCCATCTATTTGCACTTTTTCCTATTCAGTAAATATTTAATTGAGAATATTCTCTAAAAAAGATAAACATTTTTGTCTAGATTGTAAGATTGACAAGTCCATTTAAAATAGTGTGTTATGGGTTACAACAGACTTATACAGTCAGTTTTTATCCAGGTGCCATATGACCTGATTAAACTATACATTTAAAACTGAAGTATTTTGAAATGCTAATGAACTGTTCCAAATTCAAAGCAGGGAAAGTCCAATATACAAAAGGTTTTAGGGTTTTGAAGTTTGAATAAAATTCCTTAAGATAATTTAATACAAAAAAAAAAAAAACTTGACATTTTTTTTCAAGGTGTGTTTGCTCCATGCAGTTTAATTATATTTGTGTTCACTGGATTTTAATTTGTTTAGCAGACATACTTGAATGATTTTGTAAGAGATTGTTTGACTGTTTAAACATAGTTTAAAATATGAATGGTTATTAGTCAGTCAGTACTAGAATGTAATATCATGATTTGGAAAAACAAGGAATAAAACTTTTGTTGTGTAATAGATTTAAAAGGAATCATTTGTAATAATGAAAAATGTGTGTTATTAAATACAATGTACAAAGAAATAAAAAAAATGTATTACAATTTCTATTCCAAAAATATTGTGTTAACATTGTACTATGTTTAATAACTATTGAGGTTCAAGCATAAGTGCTGTTTACAAATGTAGTCATGTTTACAAATTTAGTCACTCAAACTTAATCAAATAAATACACCATACCCTAAACCTATTGTCTTGTATATACATATAAAGAGGAGAATGCCTTGTATAATGTGACATCACAGCCAAATGAAATTTCTTAATTTTTCAATCATTGTCAATTAGCTCTAGCCATTTGTATTGTCTTAACTGTTAGGAGTGGTTTTATGTTAAGTTAAGCTTATATACATGTATATATTTTATCAATAATAACAGAAAAATAATAAGGACAGGAAAAGAATAACTGTATATCTACAGTAAGGTATGAACCACCATTAATTTCTATGAGTCCAAAAGTTGTTGTTTCAAAACCACATGTATAGATGGACTGCCAATGGACAAACTTTTAATTGTTATAAATTCTGTTGCTTCAAATAATCAAAATATTTCAATTAGCTGAACAAATGTTAATTACAATTGTAAACAGCAACCATAGAGAATATAGCAATTTTGTAATAGTCTTCTTTTTATCGGGAATTTCAGCTTTTGATCATTAGCAGATAACATTTTGTCTCCAGTATTTCATAATTAGTATGAAATGGCAACTATAAGGAATGATTAATGCTTTAACTATGTTTATTGCCAAAGGATTAAAAAGACTGATAAATCAGCTGCCTAACTTTACGCTAATTTTCAAAATAAATAAATATTTTTGTTCTTTATTTCATATTGAGTCTTCTTCATTCTATGAATAAAATTTTCTTGTCAGGCCATTACAGGGTGCATAAATTAGTTTATATATTAAATGACTTAAATTTATTTCAGGAAAATCAAGCCCCTGATCCTCTTGCAAAGGCCCAGCTAGATCTTCTATCACATCTTATTGGCAATACCACAACCACAGAAAAATCAGGCTTTAGACTTAACCTGTTTTCATCAGATAAAGAAGAGGAGTATGTCATTAATTGTTTTTAGCTTGACTATACGAAGTATATGGAGAGCTGTCCTACTCGCCCCGGCGTCCTCGTCCAGATTTCAGATTAAAGTTTTGGTGCAGTAAAATATTTTTTACTTTAACTTTGTCATTTCTTAAGGTATCCACATCAAACTTCAAATATATGTTCCTTATCATCAACCACATCTTATGTGACAAGGTTCATAACTCTAGCACCAATATTTTCAGATTTATCTCCCCTTGAACTTAGAATTTTCCTTAAAAAATTCTATTTTTTACTGTTACTACTTTATTTCTAAATGGATCAACTTCATACTTCAAATATATGTACCTTATCATCAACCACATGTTATGTTACAAGGTTCATAACTCTAGCACCAATATTGCAGGAATTATCTTCCCATAAACTTAGATTTGCTTACTTAAAATTTTTTATTTTTTTACTATAACTTTTTTAGTTTTAAAGGTATCTACCTCAAACTTCAAATACTTATTTCTTATCATCAATTACATTTTATGTGACAAGGTTCATAACTCTTGAAGCAATATTTACAGATTTATCTCTCTTTGAACATAGGATTTTCTTTAAGAAATATTATAACTTCTATACTTTTTATATGCCCGAAAGAATTTCGGGCATATTATGTTAAACTCCTGGCGTCCGTCCGTCAGTTAGCAATTTGGTTTCCGGAGCATAACTTAAGTTCCATTTGGCCCACAATATTCAAACTTCATAGGATGATTACCCATATTGGGTAGAAGACCCCTATTGATTTTGAGGTCAAAGGTCAAGGTCACTATGACCTTAAAACTGAAAACAGTTTCTGGAGCATAACTTAAGTTCCATTTGGCCCACAGTGTTCAAACTTCATAGGATGATTGTCCATATTGGGTAGAAGACTCCTATTGATTTTGGGGTCACAAGGTCAAAGGTCAAGGTCACTATGACCTTAAAACTAAAAGCAGTTTCTAGAGCATAACTTAAGTTCTATTTGGCCCACAATGTTCAAACTTCATAGGATGATTGTCCATATTGGGAAGAAGACCCCTATTGATTTTGGGGTCACAAGGTCAAAGGTCAAGGTCACTATTACTTAGAAATTGAAAACAGTTTCTTGAGCATAACTTAAGTTCCATTTGGCCAAAATATTCAAACTTCATAGGATGATTGTCCATATTGGGTAGAAGACCCCTATTGATTTTGGGGTCACAAGGTCAAAGGTCATGGTCACTATTACCTTAGAACTGAAAACAGTTTACGGGGCATAACTTAAGTTCCATTTGGACCACAATATTGAAACTTCAAAGGAGGATTCTTATTTGAAGGAGGTAATACTTTATTTAATTCCCATGTCTTACAAATGGTTCATCTTAATTAGAATAAAAAGATCATATTCGGGCAACTTAAGTTAATAACTTCAACCTTCAAATATATATTTCTTATCATTACACACATTTTGTGTGACAAGGTTCATAACTCTAACATGACTATTTCCAGAATGATTCTCCTTGATCTTGGAATTTATGTCAACAATGTTATTTTTTTACTATAATTTAATACATAATTATACATAATTGATTTTTCTTTCAAAGTTTTGTCTTCCTTACTGCGTCCAGTATTTTATTAGTCGAGCTTCGCTGTCTCCTGTGACAGCTCTTGTTTGAGTCATCTCCTCTGGTCAACTTATTTTATTCCATACAGAATAAACTCCCATTATCAATTATTTTGTGGATAATTTTAAACAGAATGGGTAATTATACCCCCACAAACCAAGTTAAGTGGGGGTATTTGGAGTCAGCTTGTTGGTCGGTCCGTCAGTCGGTCCACATCATGGTTTCCAGATGATAACTCGAGTTTGGAATGAGGTATTGTAATCAAACTTGGTATATAGCCTCCTTATGTGGAAACCACGGTTGGTATTGCACTTGGACCCCCTATGGTCAAGGTCACTGTTACTAAAAGACTAAATAGACCATATGGTTTCTGGACAATAACTTGATTAGGGAATGAGATATTGTAATCAAACTTGGTGTATAGAATGCTTATGTGAAGACCACAGTTGGTATTGCACTTGGACCCCCTTGGGTCAAGGTCAATGTTACTAAAAATAGAAAAATGGTTTCCAAACAAAAACTAGAGTTAGGAATGAGATATTGTAATCAAACTTGGTGTATAGCAAGCTTAAGTGAAGACCCAGTTGGTATTGCATTTGGACCCCTGGGTTCAAGGCCAAGGTCACCATTACTAAAAATAAAAAAATGGCAATAACTAGAGTTAGGAATGAAATATTTTAATCAAATTTGGTGTATAGCAAGCTACTAAGAAGTCCCCTTTCCCCCCTTTGGTATATGGCAACCTTATGAGGAAACTGCGGTTGGTATTGCATTCGGACCCCTTGGGGGTCAAGGTCAACATTACTAAAAATAGAATGATGGTTTTCGGATTATAACTAGAGTTAGGAATGAGATATTGTAATCAAACTTGGGTGTATAGCAAGCTTATATGAAGACCCCTGTTGGTATTGCAATTGGGCCCCTTGGGTCAAGATCACCATTACTAAAAATAGAAAATTGTTTTCAGGACAATAGCTAGAGTTAGGAATGAGATATTGTAGTAAAGCAAGCTTATATGAAGACCCCTGTTGGTATTGCAATTAATTGAAATAATTCTTTGTACACAGTTGATACTTCATTTACTATAGGTCGAGTTCAAATTTTTCTTCAGACCACTTATTTTTCAAAAGTCAAAGTTGCTAGTGGGGTATTAATCACCTTCAGTGATAGCTCTAGTTTTGTTTTAAAATCATAAAACAATGTTGTTGTTATTTTGTTGTTTTTGTTCTCTCAATATAATTACTGAATTTATTTTTAATGAAAACCGGTTATTGTAATGCTGAAGTTAGTGGGCGGATGTCAACTTTTGGTTTCCGCTCAATAACTTGAGTTTGCTTTGGTCTATTGACGCTTAACTTAGTGTGTAGGTAGCTTATATCAAGTGGAAGCTTGGCATCACTACTCAGGTGTCTGTAATCAAGGTCAAGGTCACTGTTGCTAAAAATACAATTTCAGGTTCCACTCAGTAATTTCAGTTTGCTTTGGCCTTATGACACCAAACTTGGTGTATGACTAGCTTACATCAAGACACTACTCAAGATTGCTACTAAGGTGTCTGTGATCAAGGTCAAGGTCAATGTTGCTAAAAATAGAAATTCTGTTTTCAATCAATAACTTGAGTTTGCTTTAGCCTAGTAATACTAGACATTGTGTATCAAGAGGCAGCTTTGGATTGCTACCCAGATGTGTTTGATCAAGGTCACTGTTACTAAAATTATAAATTCAGTTTAAGCTCAATAACTTGAAATTGTGTTGGCCTATTGACGCCAAACTTAGTATATGGATAGCTTATATCAAGACGCTTATCGTAAATACTACCCCGGTGACTATGATTACGTTCAAGGTCAGTTGCTTACAATAGAATTTTCAGGTTTGCTCAATAACTTCAGTACACTTTGACCTATTGATACTTGGCTTGGCATGTGTGTAGCTTACAGCCTGGCATTGCTATTCAGGTATATTTTTATTTTGAACTATTAAACCAACTTTCTGTGTTGGTACAAATAACAGGCTTAACAGCATCATATTTTCTTAAATGCCATATTTCATTCCTAATTTCTATCAAATCAATACTTGGTCGTTGAAAACCTGGTTTTCGTTGCATTGTGGCACTCCTTGTTAACATTTAAACCAGAGAAACCTGAGTGGAACTGATGTTTAGTCACTGAATTTCATATTAAAAATTTTACCTAGAAATGATAAATGCAATCCATATTAAAGGATGGACTATAGTTAAGTCCAATGAAGATATTTCGGATGGAAAAGTTGATACATGTCAGTCAGTAAATAAGTGTTGTGTCTAATATGTTGTGTCTAATACAATGTGAACTTTTATTTCAGGCAAGCAGCAGTTTTATATAAACCTGTAGAAACAAAAGAATCACAAGTGGTTAAAATTGATGCATCTAAGGTAATTTATTTGTTCATATAAAAATTAAATAGAAATGAGAAAAAGTTCAATTTGAAAGATATAAGTGTGATAGTGGCCACATTTTGATAGCTAAACCCGTTAAAAACACAAATTTAAATGATGTTACTTAAAACATGTACAGTCATTATTATTTATTATCATATTTGTTTATCCCAAGGCCTTCTATCACAATTGCTTTTGCAAATAGTTTGGTACCAGGCCAATCACAGACTATGTCAGATTATTATAAGACTACATAAATTTTGTCTGTCACCATTTACTATTTACTGATTTAAAAAAAACTGAATAAAAATTAAAAACTTAAGCTGACAAAATTTAAGCAGATAACAATTTTTCCCACACAAAGGATAAATATATGACTAGATGTAAATGTATGTTAGAAATAAAGTTTCTATTTTAACTCAAATTTTTAAATTTAACGATTGATTCAGTTTTATTTTTTCATGTTTCCTTTTGCAATTATTATATGTTGATCAAGTAAGTATTTCTATATTTTGATTTTCAATGTGTATAATGCTAATTTATTGCACAAAATTCTAGACAAACTCACACAAATAAATGTGATAATGTGAAATCTTGATCACTTGTATAGACTGACATCTGGTTTCTGTATATTCCATTATGTTGCTGTTCTAAAATTTAGTATATAGAGGGTTTGAAGTTGTTGTTTTTTCCAGACAAATTTAAAAATAGCTTAAGAAATGTTCAGATTTATTATAATATAACCCTGTGTTTATTCTCAATACATTGTGCGTTTCTCCTTTATGTAACTCTTTTGAAATATTTACCTTTAACTAAGAAAGAAATTTAGTTGAAGAGAACATTTAAAGAGAATTTTTGATCATATCTTGGTGGTTAGGTCACCTAATTGGCTTTCTTGGATAACTAACCAGTAATTATTAATTTCTCAGTAAGTGACTAATTTTTATCCCTAATGATTTCTAGACCAGCAGGGAAAGATTAATAACTGTTCAATATCAATTGTCATGTGAGAATTTCACCAACAACTCCTGAATAACTATTTCAGTGCTCTACCTTTTGAGCTAAGCAGGCATATGAAGAAGATTTAAAAATCTTATTATGCTTTTATCTATAAGTTGCTAAACTTATGAACAGGTCTATAAAATATTTAAGTTAAGGTTATAAAAACCCATTAGAAATTAAAGTTGATAATCTTGAGTGCAATTTAATGGCATGCCTCTTTAAAGCATTCTGAATTAGACTTTGGAAGAATAAAATCTGTATTTCAGTTGACAACGTATTATGTATATGGATAACATCTAAGGTTTAAAAGCTAAGATTAAGATTTGTGTAAGGTTAAATTGTTTGATTTGATGAAGCTATCTAGCTAGTCATAAAGGTTTTGCTAACTCTTCAGGTGACTAATTCTCTGCTATAATGCCCATAAAAGAACACTGGAGATCTTTCATCAAGAATTTAAGCTACATATTTGCCTTATATTGTTCACGGTGTGACCTATCAACACTTCTCCTGGCCTGTTGCTGTTGTCTATAATGTTGTTAAATAGACATGTTTTCTGTTATAATATTTTCACACTACAGTCAAACGTGTATTAAGCGACCGCGCAAGGGAAACACCCAAAACGGTCGCTTAATGAAACGGTCTGTTAAGACAGTCAGCATGATATAAAAGTCAAAATTTATAAATGACATCTTTCTTATGCGGTGGGAATGTTTTTCAACTGTTTTTATATACACGTTGAATAATAAATACGCTCCGATAATCTAAAAGGATAATCTAAAATAACTTTCTGATATATATTGACAAACCAGTTTTGGTCTATTACGTACATGTTTGACATTTTTCCAGAATTAACTTCTCCGTTGTTTTTCCTTGATTCCAACACGAAAACCCTATTAGTGAAGATGTTTTCTGTTGTGCATTTTTTCATTTGAAATAAGCAAACTACATCTAATTGTTTCGATTAATTTAATTGCTGATCAAGGTCAATTCAATGCAGTCTAAATGTCAACAAGCGAAGCGTATACACTATCTCAGTAGGGGCGGAGCGTTGCATTGTTTATCCGATATTATTGGATAATACACGTGACGCGTATACTTAACTTCATTTGCATACGCTAAAACAGTTTGGGAAATAGTGTTTGTCACACGTTTATTTGTTGTGTTTTGATTGTTGACACTTGTTACATTACGAGGTGGCGTTCTCTAAAAACACAATTACTTGACAGGTAAAAGTGGTCGTTTAATGAAAAGATTTATCTCAATTAGGTGACTAATTAGCGGTCGCTGGTCGCGTTGAGCAAAAGTGGCTTAATACATTAAAGATATAGAGAGAAAATGATCGGGGGGAATTTAAAGTGGTCGTTTAAGACAAAAGTCGCTTAATACACGTGGTCGCATGGGCAAGTTAGACTGTATATTCAAGTGAGCATCTTTCTCAACATATCTTCACCTTTTATTACAGTAATAGGTTAACACTTGTATAATTTAACAGGAGATAACCTGTTACTGCACTGAGGTGAAATTATGTACAGTCTAACTTGCAACTTAACAACAACTTAAGTGCAAAATTTCAGATCACTCGCTAACTCTGTTTTTCAAAAAAATAATTTCTATCAAGTAAAACAACCCAAATAGAAAGGCATTGAACACTTTTAACCAAAATCAGGCTAAGAATCACTATTAAAAAAAAAGTTCAATTCTGGCATATTACGTTCCCATTTTAAGTGCTCCAATCAATCTATGAAAAATTAATTTTTTTCATGGTTTTAGCAATTTTTACCAAATAGACTTGTAAATTTGTCTAAGTCAAACATTATAAAGCCAGCCAGATTTCATTAGTGCAGTATTTTATTACAGAAACAGAAGAACAAAGAGTTAGAACAGATTATGGGAGAGCTGGATGTTAAAGATTCTGGTGCTAGTGGTGGTGAAGATTTATTGGATCTCATGGACAGTGCAAGCTAGACCTGACATTCTTTACAATAATATTCATAATTTATTTTGCTTCACAAGACAATGCTTTCCATATTGTGTTTGTTTTTTGTTGTTGTTTTTGTATTAGATATTAAAGCAGCATGCAACCAGGTTTATGCTATTTTATATGAAATTTAATAGTATAAGAATGGTCCAATGAACAAGTTTAAAGAAATTTAAGGTACTTACAATTTCAAGAAGTTTAATTGCAATGTTTTAAATTTGCAAAAATCCTACTGGAAACTGATGTTACCCATGTGTGGATGATTTGATTGGTTTGCTGAAAAAGCCTAATCGGAAAATCATCATTGGCTAAAAGACGAATAACTGATGATCAGGTGTATATGTTAACATAAGAAGATCTGAACTTTAGCCAAGCTACATTGAGACAAAAGCGTTTTACAAAATCATCATCATCAATCAAGTCCGAAAAATCACTAATTTTGCCATGGAAAAACATTCAAGTACATATTTGATTTTTTTTTTCTGTGGAAGATTCTATCACTTTAACTAGACTTTTTAAATAAAAAAAGGTATTGCTACAGTCATGTTTTCATTGCCAGTGCTGGTGCCATCCATACACTTTAACATTGGTCATGATTACTTTCATATCTCAATGGATTACCTTCATATGTGGATGCAACAACCCTTTGGGCAAAACCTTTAAGTTGACATGACAGACCTGACCTTTCATAAATTTTGCCATTTTTTTTTTTTTTTGCTATAATTTGCTATTACTTAGTTATTTATGAATTGATTTTTGTGTCGCCTTGAAAAGGTGACATATAGGGGTTACTTTTGTCGGCGGCGTCGTTGTCGGCGTCCCCTAAAGCTTGTCCGGAGCATAACTCAGTCACTATAAGTCTGATTGACTTCAAACTTGGTATGCATGCTTCTTTCAATAACCCGAAGTGCAGTGCACAAGGACCAGTACTCTGCAGTTCTTATTTTTTGAGTTATTGCCCTTTGTTAATTTTCATACTTTAATTTTGTCCGGGCCATTTCTCTTCAACTAAAAAAGCTATGGACTTGAAACTTCATAGGATAATAGATCTCATTAAGAAGAAGTGCAGTGAATAAGAACCGGTACTCTGCACTTCCAAATTTTTGAGTTATTGCCCTTTGTTAATTTTCATACTTTATTTTTGTCCGGGCCATTTCTCCTAATGTATAAAAGCCATGGACTTGAAACTTCATAGGATGATAGGTCTCATTAAGAAGAAGGGCAGTGCACAAGAACAGGTACTCTGCATTTCTTATTTTTTGAGTTATTGCCCTCTGTTTATTTTCATACTTTAATTTTGTCCGGGCAATTTCTCCTTAAGTATAAAAGCTATGGACTTGAAACTTCATAGGATGATAGATCTCATTAAGAAGAAGAGCAGTGCACAAGAATCGGTACTCTGCATTTCTTATTTTTTGAGTTATGGCCCTTTGTTAATTTTCATACTTAATTTTTGTCCAGGCCATTTCTCCGAAAGTATAAAAGTTATGGACTTGAAACTTCATAGGAGGATAGATCTCATTAAGAAAAAGTGCAGTGCATGAGAACTGATACTCTGCATTTCGTATTTTTTGAGTAATTGCCCTTTGTTGATTTTCTTACTTTATTTTTGTCCTGGTCATTTCTCCTCAAGTATGAAAGCTATGGACTTGAAACATCATAGAATGATAGATCTTATTGATAAGAAGTGCAGTGCACAGAAACTGCTGCTCTGCACTTATTATTTTTTTAGTTATTGCCCTTTGTTATTTTTCATAATTCATTTTTGTCCTTGCCATTTCTCCTAAACTACATTGTTCACAAGGCGACACATCCGACTCGCGGAGTTCTAGTCTTCTTACTTGAGCACAATTGCCTTAAGGCCAATGTTTTAAAGTACATCAAAAACACTTTGAACTTGATTCATATATTACCTTTACCTTCAAGGTGAAATTATTGTAATTTCACAGTTTTTGTCTAGCCAGTTTGTGGTGAGCTCAACTTAGTCGGCACTTTTGACGTATAGTTCAGTGTGTCCATGCGTCAGTCTGTTTGTCTGTCTGTATCTTGATCATTCTATGAAGGATTACAAAATAGTATGATACAAATGTTCACCATGATGGAGTGCTGTGTCACACGCAAAATCCGTCACCCAAAGGTCTAGTCACACTTGGGGGGGGGGGGGGGGTTGGCCCAAAACCTGTGTGCGGAGCGTAAGTTTTACATGCATTGCAGGATTTTAAAACTTGGGACAAATGTTCTCCATAGTGAGACAGAGTGTCATGCAAAAAATGCAGGTGTGGCAAAGGTCAAGGTCTTACTTCATGGTCAAATGTCAAATAACAAATAAAAACTTGAATATAACTTTTATATACATGGATGGATTTTAATATAACTTAGAACAGATGTTCTCCATGGTGGGTTGAGCTGTCTTGCACAAAATGAAGGTCAAGGTCAGGAGACTACCCACCTATATGACTGAAATACTGTTGGGAAAAGGCGTAAAATGAAACAAACAAACAAAACACAACAGGTCAAAGTTCAGATAAAAATATCAAAATTTGGTTGTCAGCACTGTATCTTGCTAAGTAGTCAGAGGATTTTTGTCAAGCCTTCAGCTCCACATACTGCTCAGCATTTGTGTGTGTTTGCGTGCATCCAAACTTGTCAATGCCATTACTTCTTTGTGCATGGTGAATTTTCAAATAACATGAATTGAGTTTTTTAGTCTCGAATGTAAATACCATGAAACTTTGTGTCATGCACATAAACCGGGTCAGAGGTCAAGGTCACCTAAGATGAGGCATTGTCAAGATTTTGCCTTGGGTATAAAGAGGTCTCATCTTTGTATATATCTTTTGCTTATAGGTTCATGTTTGAATTAAGACAAGTGGGATCAACATTAGATACACATGGACATGTCTTATTTTGCTATAATTGGCTATTCCAGTGTAAGTAATAAATGGATTGTCTTCCAACATGGGCACAACAAAATGCTTTGGACAAGACATTAAAGAACACTTGATTGAATTGACCTTGAGTAATTAAAATATGATCTTGACCTATAAATGAATGACCTTAACCATCAAATTAAACTAAAGCTTAAGTCATAAATTAATTTGTTATTTATTAACAGATCGATTTATATGTGAAAAAAAAAAACTTAAGAAAAAACCATGTTGAATTTTTATAAAATGACCTTGACCTTTATTTGACCTTAACCATCAAGGTAAGACTACTGAAATTTGCTTAAATCATTAAAACCTTTGTTATTTGATTGATAAATGAGCCATACTTGGACAAAAGAACTTCTACAATAAAACTGATCTGTTGAATTAAACCAATATGACCTTGACCTTTAAATGACCTTGACTGTCAAGGTCAGATAATTGAAAATTGCTTAAATTGTCATAACTTTGTTATTTATTTACAGATTTGACTCATGACGAAACCAACATGTTGAATTATTTTAGTATGACCTTCACCTTTAAATGACTTTACAGTCAAGGCCAAATATAAAATTTCAAACATTTGTAGCAACCACAGTTTGGCTGTTTAAAAGGTCACTTAACCCATTACTTCATGAGAATCTTGTGAAAAATGGCTGTTTTCATTGAAAAGTCTCCCCGTTACAAGTTCAAATTGCTATAATACTATAAAAACTGCTTCAACACTAATCAAACTTGGCACAAATGTTGACTGGACCATTGCCCTTGCAACAACACGCTCAGGCTTAAATTTTCTGTTACCATGGCAACGAGGGGACATCTCAAAATTGCCAAAAATCACTATTTTGTGTTGATTTTTTCCATCAAAATTGATTTCAAAGTGCTGCAACTTCTCAATGAATTGAGATAGAGTCAAATGCTTTTCAGCGTTGGTTACACGTTACCTTATGATCAATCTGGGGTCATTTATAGCCTCCCACAAGTCCAAAATTTTCTTGGCGACCTAAATAAGGCATTTTTCCATCATTTGAGACAACAAAAGGGGGGGGGGGGGTTTTAGCTGATTTTGAGGTACTCATTTATGAAATATCTATTAAGAAATAAAATTGTCCTTTTATTATTACTATTATTAAAATATTCTTTTTGCAGTAATGATAATGCAGCTATTAAGTAGTCAAATTATAATCCAAAATGCTTTACAAATTACTAGACTACAATCCGCCTCAATTTTTTCAGTAACCTATATTAATCTTATCAGTCAAAGTGACATTAAGCATTCTTATATTACAGAATATTAGTTATTATTGCAAAAGAAACAAATATTGAAATAAGTAATGTTAGCACGTTCTTATGTGCAGTAATGATTTAATGCAGCTATTAAGTAGTCAAATTATAATCCAAAATGCTTTACAAATTACTAGACTACATCTGCCTCAATTTTTTCTTAACTATATTACTATTTCTCAGCAACCAGTGACATAAATTATTGGGAGCATTCTTATGATCAGAATATTTTGGTTTTTTTTTTGTTTTACTTATTATTGTCATTTTATATTAGTTACACTGGTTTGTGATTTTTTTTGCTCCATCCATGCTTAAAACACAATTTTTCTGGGAAAATCTAGCATTTTTCTTGCCAGTCTGTTTACTCTAATTTTTTGCAAAAATGACAAAAATAATTATGCAAAGAAAATATTGAATAAGTAATGTATGTGTCCCAAAAAAACTTCTGTATTCATCATCTGTTGTCCCTTTTGTAATAGCTTACCATAAATATTCCATATTTTGTAGCTTTTGTAATTTTTAGCCCAGGTTCATTTCTTTGCACACATTAAAATTGAAATGGAGGCTTAATGGTTTGTGAAAGTAAACTCACTAAATATACTAGTAAAATACGATAAAATATTACATTTATGAAAAAAAATCAAAAGTTTTTTTCCTCTTTGAACATGAGAAGGCATGTGGTCATCATATAGCAGGCTTTGACTTGGCCCCTCGATTTTGTTTGACTTGGCCCCTCGATTTTGTTTATATGTATATTGAATTACTGATATTTAACATAAATCTTAAAATATTGTAAATTCTCTGTATTATTATGGACCACACATATTATCAATAAAGTGAATATTAAAGAATAAGAGTGTCAAATGTTTGGTTTTTATTTGCTAAACAGATCAATTTTAAATTTTAATACATGTACCAATTCAATTGTGGTTAAAATTTGTGCCAGTATAATTGATAACTAAGCTTGCTTGACTTTTCCCCTCATATAAAGTGCCAGAGTGAGGTTTTAAAATGTGACTTAAGCAGTTTCTACTGACCAATGCACCTATGTAGATTGAGGGCCAAGAGTCTGGGTTGTAAAGTTATTCATCGAAAACCGTTTTTACCTACAAGGTCAATATGACCTTGACCCCAAAATCAATAGGGGTCATCTACTGGTCATGAACAATCTCCATACTAAGTTTTAAGTTCCTAAGCCTAAGCGTTCTTTAGTTTTTAATCGGACACCATTTGGTCTACAGACCAATATACCCCCACTTTCTTGAAGGGATGCATAATAATACATCCAAACAATCTTTGTATCATAGTTTGGGGTTAAATCTTTTACATTTACATGCAAAGAGCCTCATCTGGATTTCAGGTATTAGTTATCCACTCTCCAGAGCATGTCTATTGATTGGTTCATTTTTTCTGCGACAACAGGGAATGAGATAACGATAGAAAAATCATATTCAGATACTCGTACACTGGTTACTTTTTTCTGGGGTTCAATACTGCGACCCCAAAATCAATAGGGGTCTTCTACTGGTCATAAACAATCACCATACCATGTTTGAAGTTCCTAGGCCTAAGCATTCTTTAGTTATTGATCAGAAACCATTTTTACCTACAAGGTCAATGTGACCTTAGCCTTTGACCCCTTGACCGTAAAATCTATAGCGGTCATCTACTGGTCATGAACAATCCCCATACCAAGTTTGAAGTTGCTAGGCCTAAATGTTTTTATTTTTTGATCGGAAACCATTTAGTCTACGGACCAACAGACCTACTGACAGACAAATGCAAACCAATATACCCCCAATTCTTTGAAGGGGGGATAATTGTTTATATTACTTGAATAGACATGTTGCACGTATAATTCAGCTTGAACCTACTCAACAACTTCCACATTCCACTATTTGTAGCTATTGACTAACCAGAAATCTTAAGAAGCTAATTTCATTTATTTCAACACAGGGCGGTGATTGCAGTCATTCAGTGAAAACATGATTCAATGAATTGATTACCACTAATGTCCTGAAACAAGTGGAAATAAATTTGATATCTACTTACTGTGATACAAAGTCCACTAAATTAAGCATTGTCATGAAAAATAGTAAAGGATATGATTTTATGCTCAAATGATCCAATTAGATCAGATCATATTTTTAGCAATGCTAATTGTAAGAATAGCATGTTAAAATAAATTAAAGAACTTTGACATTTTTCATGAAATCACTAAGATCCTAAATGTATATATACTAACTTATATTTTAAAAGATGATGGTGTAGTCTTATTATGTATAAAATTGTGTAGATATTACTAAAGGGAAGTAACTTATAATAATAAATTGGCTCTGGATATCATTTTTTTACTTTCCACACTGTTTGTCCTAAATTATACAAGTTCATTATCTGAAAACACAAACATTTATTGGGATAACATATAATTCATCGATATTCATGTAAATTTTTGATAAAAAATTTCAATAACATTTCAATGTACTGCACCCAGAAAAAAAGATACAACCAATTTAATGTACATCATAATTGACATTAATGCCACAAGAATTATTATTGTTTATTCATGTTACTTATTCTACAAACTATTTCACGACACCCATTTAACATGACTACAAAGAAAGAACAACCATGAAGCATAATACTATGTACTAACATTGCTGCATCTTAAAATCTATTTACTGTTTTTTTATAATTCTTAAATATAATTTTCTTTAAAATTCTTGCATTGATATTACTTTCTTTTTCCCTTCAAAACCTTTCATAGCACTTTCAACAGCCTCAGCATAATTATCAAAAGGAAACATTTCACAAGGTGGTGGGATAAGTTTACATTCCCTAATCATGTTGCATAATTCTTCATACATTATGTCTCTTTCCGGGCTGGTATCATTTTCTATGTTCCACTGTGAATTCCAGAATCCTAAGGCAGTCACTTCTTTAAATATAAACACTCCAGTAGGAACAATTACAGGCTGACGTGACATCCCACCATATGTCACCATAGTTCCTTTAGGAGCAATATGTCTTAAAAGTTCAGTTGCACTTTTCCCTCCTACACCATTCAATGCCAATTTGGGAGCAGCACCAAGTGATTTGATCAAGTCTTTCATTTCTGGTTTGCGTAAAAACTCTTCAGTGACAACATGTGTTGCACCTAATTGTTTCAACTGCTCCGCTAGCTGTTCTAAATTATCTCTATTTCTAACAACATTTACTGTTCTTAAATTCCATGCTTTAGCAATTTGTATGACACTTTGTCCAACAGCACTATTAGCCGAGTTTTGTATAACAACATCTCCAGGTTTAAGATTACCAAAATCTTTTAACATTCTGTATGCCGTACAAGGGTTAACAGTAATAGTTGCAGCACTCAGTTGGGGTATATCATTACTGATTTTTTTAAACATATTACATTCTGTTACAATATGTGTTCTCCATGTTCCAAAACCAGCCTGGTTAGGGATTACCCAGTCTCCAACTTTGAGTGACTTTACATTTTCTCCTACATCCAGAATCTAAAATAGATAAGAATATTAATATATATATAATAGATAGAAGTTAAATATCTTGTAGTTTGCCATATGACATTTTTAATAAAAATTTACTTGCAAAAAAAAATTAGGTTGAATGGCTTACTTATACTCTAAATTATTGCACCAATATCTGTCAGTATTCATTTAAATTTGTATTCACATACAACAACAAAAGAATTTGTCCAAATACATTCAGAGGCACTTAAAACCGATACATTTTGTTACCCTGTTCCGTCATTTCGTCATCATCAGTTTCCATTCATTATTTCAGTAACCGTTGCACACATTCAACTCAAATTTAAGATATGGATATATCATAAGGAAATACAGGTCAAATTCGAATTTGGCCATGGTCCGATGATTTTTGGCAGACTTATGCCCTTTGATGAAATTGTCAGTTCCCGCTCATTATCTACCCAACTGTATTACACATTCAACTCAAATTTGATACATGGATACATCAAAGGAAAGCGCTGGTCAAGTTTGAATTAGGTCATGGTTATATGATTTTAGCAGAGTTATGCCTCTTTCACTTGGAAAATAATATGAAAATTTCTGTTTCCTTTCATTATCTTCCCAACGGTATTATACATTCAACTCAAATTTGACATATGGATACGTCAAATGAATAATGACCCTTTAACTTAATTTTCAGTTCCCCTTTATTATCTCCCCAACAGTTGTACATATTGAACTCAAATTTAATATATGGATATGTCATAAGAATATACTGGTCAAGTCCGAATTTGGTCATGGTTTGATGATAGTTAAAATAGTTGTCCCTCTTGAACTTTGAAAAAACTAGAAATGTGTCCATAGGACACGGGTGCCCTCACCGCGCCACTGTTCTGTCAATCTTATGACTCTAGGTCAAATATTTTTTGAAAACAAAAAACTGAATAAATCCACATTGCACAAGCAAACCCCAAGGTGCATAAGTACACATGCTGACCAACATTCTTGTAAACTTTCAGGCCTACAAGTGAAATACTTTTTGAGCTATGCATGAACAAGTTGAAAATTGCAAATTTTTACTACTGTAAGTCAAGGGCAATAACTCTAACAAAACTTAAAAAAATCCACATACTAATTCCCAGGTGCATAGCTTCACAGTGATGTGAATCATTATTCCTGTAATTTAGAGATGTTGATCATTATTCTTGTAAAGTTGGTTGATTCTAACTCAAGCACTCGAGGAACAAATAACAACATAATGAAACGGTTTTTACTAAGTCAAGGGAAATAACTCTACAAATACTGGATAAGTCCACAAGCGAAACCCCAGGTGCAAAACTAAATATGCTGAGCAACCTTCCCGTAAGGTTTAATGACTCTAGGTCAAATCCTTTTTGAATTACATGCGACACAAGTTGAAAATTGCAAAAATTATATAAGTCAAGGGCAATAACTCTAAAAATACTAAATAAATCCAGACGAAAATACCCGGTGCACAACAACACAGGCTGATCAATATTCCTGTAAAGTTTCATGACTCTAGGTCAAATGCTTTTTGAGTTACATGCGACACAAGTTGAAAATTGCAAAACTTTACTAAGTCAAGGGCAATAACTCTAAAAATACTAAAATATCTAGACGAAAACACCTAGGTGCACAACTACACATGCTGATCAACATTCCTGTAAAGTTTCATGACTCTAGGTCAAATACTTTTTGAGTTACGTGCGACACAAGTTGAAAATTGCAAAATTTTACTAAGTCAAGGGCAAAAACTCTGAAAATACTAAAAATATCCAGACGAAAATACCCAGGTGCACAACTACACATGCTGATCAACATTCCTGTAAAGTTTCATGACTCTAGGTCAAATACTTTTTGAGTTACGTGCGACACAAAAGGGAACGGACGGAAGGACGGACAAGGGTAAATCTAAAATTAATGCCCGCCACTAACGAGTAACGTGGGGGCACAAAAATCAGAAATTTTTAGTTTCCCCTCTTTATCTCCCCAATGGTTGTACACATTCAACTCAAATTTATGCAATTTACAAAAGGTTAATACTAAATAGTTTCAGTGCCTTGAACTTGTATAAAAATGGTTTGTGCTAAAATGAATAGTTTAAAAGGGCTTAGAACTTAAAATGAAAAAAATTTCGTTATTCTCATTCATATTTGGGTATCTTTCTGGTCACAATTATTTATAACCAATTAACTTCATAAATTCAATAATAATGTCTATTGACGAAAATAATCCCAAAATTGCTGATTTTTAAGAAAATAATAACCATGTAGTTTCTCATGAAGACTGGGAATATTTTTCCATTCCTGAACTAGGGCTTGCTCAAGTTCCTGCAAATTATGGGAGGAATTGAACTGGCATGTGAGAAAGCGACTAGTAGCCTCTCATAATTTGCTGGAACTTTAGCAAGGAATGGAAAAATATTGTTTTGTTGGGTTTTTATATATTCTATAAACCAACTTAAAATTATAAGACTTCTTGTATATTGTACATAAATTTCCAAAAAAATAGATTAGTAAGCAACTTCAAGTTCAACAAGGTAGTGAAAATGTATTGGGGCTCCTTATCCTTGTCCTCATGTGTTCACTTTTATAAAGATGCTCCGCTGTTTCGTAAAAAATGAATTAAGGTAATGCAAGCATTGTAATATTGATAAAAGTGTCAAAGTTACATGTTATAAGTTACATCATTTTTTTATGCTTATGATTTGTTGTTTTATTTGTATGAAAGATGAAGAACTTTTGGCTAGCCGTACGGCCAAAGGGGTACGGCTCATTGAATATTCACAAAATATGTATTTGATGGTAGAAAACATAGGGACCCGGCACAGTGTTGGGATAGTGTAACAAGAGCTGTCTGTAGGACAGCATGCTCGACTATTCTAAGTGCTTGATAGTAAAAGAGCCTTGATAATGTTAAATTTTTTAAGTTCACAAAAGGGCTAATTTTTTTTTATAAATTCATGTTAAAGCTCTTAGAGAGAGTCTAATTATACAGAATTGGCTTGACTATTTGGAAGGTAATGTCACAAGGGTTTTTTATTGAGTATAATAATACTAATTACCTATGAATACATAAATTTGACAGAAAAGGTACAAAAGCTTGTTATTAAGATGTTTTATCAAGTAAATCACTGCTTTATTATTATGAATGCATAAAATTGTCCAAAAAAAGGCACAAACCCTTCAGTAGTTATTGAGATAACAGCTTACAAGCAAAACTTTACCATGAATTTCTAAGTTGAAAAAGGGGGGAAAAATCAGCCTAAATGCTTGATAGAATTATGGATCTTTGTCAGTGACCTACAATTATGACCCTAAATGCATATGTGAAGTTTTAAAAAAATATCTTTAATAGTTATTGAGATATGTAAAACTTGCATGTAAACATTAACCAAGAGACTAAGTAGAAAAGGGGATATGAATCAGCCTTAATGCCAGATAGAGTTATGGAACTTGGTCAGTGACATACAATTATGCCCCTACAATTATAACCCTAAGTGCATGTGTAAAATTTCAAGTAAATATCTTTGAAGATTTTTAACCTTTAACCAAAATTTCTAAGTTTCAAAGGGGCAAATAATTCTGCAAATATTGCAGACAGAGTTATGCAATTTTGCAAACTGATGTACATTGTTATTATAAATAAGAATTTTAAATTTCAATTGAATATCTCAAGCAATAATTGAGATATTTGACTTTACAAAAAAACTTGAACCAAAATTTCTAAGTTCCAAAGGGGCATAATTCTGTCAATATGGTAGGCAGAGTTATCCAACTTGTCAATCTGATGTACATTGTTACTATAAATAAGTATTGTAAGTTTCAATTGAATATCTCAAGCAATAATTGAGATATTTGACTTTACAAAAAACTTTAACCAAAATTTCTAAGTTAAAAAGGTGCATAATTCTGTCAATATTGTAGGCAGAGTTATCCAACTTGTCAATCTGATGTACCTTGTTACTATAAATAGGTATTGTAAGTTTCAATTGAATATCTCAAGCAATAATTGAGATATTTGACTTTACAAAAAACTTTAACAAAAATTTTTAAGTTAAAAAGGGGCATAATTCTGTCAATATGGTAGGCAGATTATCCAACTTGTCAATCTGATGTACCTTGTTACTATAGATAAATATTGTAAGTTTAAATTGAATATCTCAAGCAATAATTGAGATATTTGACTTTACAAAAAACTTTAACCAAAATTTCTAAGTTAAAAAGGGGCATAATTCTGTCAATATTGTAGGCAGAGTTATCCAACTTGTCAATCTGATGTACCTTGTTACTATAAATAACTATTGTAAGTTTCAATTGAATATCTCAAGTAATAATTGAGATATTTGACTTTACAAAAAACTTTAACCAACGCAGACGCCGACGCGACTACAATAGCTCTCATATTCTTTGAATAGTCGAGCTAAAAACGTAATTCTATAAAAAAATATATAGTTTATATGTAATATATATAGACTATATCTTATATATAAACTATGTTTCTTTTTTTTTAGAATTACTTTTTTACGCTATCCAAACACTGTGCCGGGTCGCTTTGGTAGAAAACATTTATCCTAAGTCAGAAATGAATTCTAAGACAGAACATTCCCATTACACTATATACTCATATATAGTCTATATATCAGTGTCTATTCTAGGATTCGAAAAACAGGGGGGATTTTTATCGAAAAGTGAGAATTTATTACATTTGTTGATCTTTTTCCTTCTTTGTCTATGTAAAATTTTCCCCCTTCCTCTCAAAAAATAGGGGTGAATTCTCAAAAATAGGGGTGAATCCCCCCATCGCCCCTCCTAGAATAGACACTGTATATGAGTATATAGTGTTATGGAAATGGACTTCAAAATTCATTTCTGACTTAGTTTAAATGCTTTCTACCATCAAATACATATTATGTGAATATTCAATGAGCCATAATGATATTCCTTTGCGCACTACCAGCCACTTCCTAAAAATATATATATGTACGACTTAAAATAAATACCTCAGCAACACCCTCATTTCCTACTACAGCAGGTAAAGGAGGCTTCAAAAAATAAGTTCCTTCAATCATATTGATATCAGATGGATTTACTGGAGCCAGTAACATCTTTGCCATCACTTCATTCGCTTTCAGTCTCTTTGACAGCTGATGCTTTTCAATTCCCAATACTTTGTTAGGGTCTCCATATTCTTTGTAAACAACTGACATGCAATCTACATGATTTGAACATAGCCTTACGACCTTCTTATAACATTTGTTATTGTTATCATACCCTTTTCTTCGAAATAACGATTTAAATACGCTTTTAGTGAAAGGTTTTGCCATTTTTCACGAGTGTCCGGTTTAATCGGAACAACTCGAATATTTTTGACAATCGCAACTTCTCGGCATTTTCCGTCAAACTCCAATCAATCGAATCTTCTCGGTCTTTTCCGTCAACAATTTAGGCTTGTTTTTAGCTAGGGGGGTACGGGGGCATGCTCCCCCGGAAAATTTTTTATTCTAGAATGCTCTTAGGGGCGTTTTCCCGTATATTTGGCACAGTTTACAGCCTGCCGCTAGGGAAAAGAGTCAAGTCGGCCCTATAACAACTCGGCACGGGTCAACTCGGCACGGGTCAACTCGGCCCACTTTACAAAAATATATAGAGCTATAACATATTTACTTTGCTTTGCATGTTGTTAAGGTAAATGAATAATAAGAAATATCTTATTATTATTATATAATGATGCATTGTACCTCTGCTGAAATAAAATATGTTTAGAAAAAAAAGTTATTTATTTGTCTTGCAGATTCGATAAAATTAATATAGACACAGGCACGATTATCGAACCTGGGAAGAAAAAATATGAACAGATTGATAAAATATCTTCATATATTTTCTTCCCAGGTCCGAAACTTGTGCCTGTGAATATAGATATAATAAAAATGTGTTTCCTTAGATGCATTTTGTTTGTAAAGTAATTTTCAAAAAAATATGAAACAAAAAAGTGTTTACTTAATAGCATAAGCTTCTAATTAATTGCAGGTGGTCACTAATCAAATTTGAATGAATGAGTCAATCATAATTATCACCTAATTAATCGGTATCTTTAACATACACATTGATCAATAAAAATAGCCCGTGACAATAGGAGTCCTTTGATGTCCTTTACCCATTTTTAAAAGTGGGCCGAGTTGACCCGTGCCGAGTTGGAACAGGGCCGAGCTGACTCGGGGGCCGAGTATGTTTTAGGGCCGAGCTGACCCGGATTCTGCCGCTAGTACATGCTATAGTTATGTCAACGATTTTTTACAGATTTAAGTGCGTCGTAAGTTTTAGGTTCGCATAACGGACGGACACGTGTACATAAAAGATGAATACATGTAATTGATATTTGGCAAATGAAAAATAAACAATAACAACTGATGAGTAAAAGTCCACCTAAATTAAGTAACGTTATAATTATATATTAAAGAAAATAGTAGCCTATAATGCGGTTGTAGAAACCGAAAGTATAAGACAAACAGATTATTGAAATATCATTTATTACCCTGTAACAAAGAAAAATAAACAATTATTGATTAAAAAAAAACAAAGAAAAGCTACACGGATCATCCCTGAACTAAAAGGACTCACATATGAACAAAGATTAATTAACTAACTCTTGATTATAGACGTCAGCGTGGAGATATGATACAAGTTCTTAAACTTATCCACAATCTAAAATAGACGATTTTGACTATGAAAAGTTGCTCAAATTATCTGTTAAAATCATGAAATCCGAGGAAATATTTATAAGTTAGAAAAGTTTATTAAGACCACTAAAGGCAATAGGACAAAATTCCTTCGCTTAGAGTCGTATACGAACTTCTCAGTGAAATAGTTTTATCCGAGAATGTGAATGAGTTTAAAGCAGCACGCCTCCAGATTCATATTATTTTTCATGAAATTTTTTGAAAATGTATTTGAATGTGTAATATTGTGAAGTAACCAAAAGAAAGCAATTTAAACATTATCATTGCCACTTACAAACCATGTACATGTAAATTACCAAAAGGTGGTCAAAATATGCATATATATAGCTTTTACTGCGTTAGTAACGCAGTAGAAATATAGATGTAAATACTGAAAAAATCAGTCACTAATCCCACATAATATGTCAAATATTACTTGAATCTTGAAACTTTTTACTTTTCCTTACATCAAAGTACATTTTCTCAAGTTTGATTTTATTGAAATAGTTTGACTCATCTGGAGGCATGCAGCTTTAAATCAAAGTTAGATAAACAATGGCAGTGGAAAAGATTCAAACTCGACAATATTTATTGAATAGACCAATACCGGAGCGGACGACAAGAAAACAGAACTCGAGGGGAATGATAGTCCGTTAGGGGACTAATAAAGTTTCTCATACATCACAATTAAGGTATGTATACAAAATGTCCTATCTTCAGATTTTTACGTGGTCCCGTTCACAACAATTAACGTACCTGCTTCTATGACAAATCGCACACTATTTAGACTACAGGGTTTCGGTTGTTAAAAGAATTTATTATTATTATTATTATTATTATTATTATTATTATTATTATTATTATTATTATTATTATTATTAACCATGTTAACTAGAATATCATGTAGATCTAGCTCTCTTATTGTCTCTTCTACGGGACCTATGATATTGAAATAAAATCCTTTGATGTTGAAAACTGCTGTATAAAAAGACAATTTTCACGCAAAATTAAATCAAGCAACATCCGAAAGAATCAACATCGTGACAGTAAGTAATGCGTACGTGTCAGTAATATTACTTGTTTACCTATCATTTAACATACAAGTCAATAACGAGATTAAGAATACTTCAAATGACAAAAATATTACTGACAGAACAGAGCCTGAGCATGTTTATGTATCGGTCACGTGACACAAATGTTTGGTCTGCAACTATGTTTGTAATGTGTGGTTTTGCAACGCAAGTTCATATAATCTTAATTTATCACTCGAATAACACTTGTACAAGCTGTGCCCATTTTAGACTTAGTGTCCTTGGCTACAACAAGTGCAATATATGCCTTACATTAACCTTTAATTATAAAACATTTATATGACTAAATTTTGACTTATTCTGTTATGCTAACTGCAATGGTTTCATGCTCTCAGATCCATTTTGATTCTCTAAAAATACTAGAAGAACATCGTGACGTTTTATACAGCTCTTTACAGAAGTTACCACGAGAATTCAATCTAGCATGTGACAGTTACCACCCAGTGATATTGATAAGTTGGTATTAGTAAATGTAGGTAATATCGATCAGTGATATATTTAGCTTTGGAAAATGTAGTAAACCCAAACAGTTTTCGAACGAAATTGTTTAGATAAACAGCGCAGATTTACATCAAAGTTTTAGAAAAAAATCAACGACATAAATATACATGTAGTATTGCTTTTTCTTTTAATTTTAACATCTTGACATTTATATAAATTAAATCTAACGATAAACGTTATTGTCATTTTCCGTCTAATACGTTTCACATCTGTGTATGTAAACGTTTTTAGTACCAATAACGTTTTCTTGGCCTAAATCTCATGACATGATAATGGATTAATAAACTGAGAAGAAGGTATGTCATTATTTGATTGTAGATGTACCCGTGAGGTATGCATGCAATATGCACCTAACAGAGTTTCGGTATTCTAATGACATTAATTACGTTCGATCCCAGTGTGTGCTTGGAGTATTATTTTTGGCCACTATACACAAGTTCTCACGAGGAAATGAGATTATTTAAATTGTTAGCTGCATACGAAAACATTAAGCAAACGAAAATGTTCTAGATTACTACCTTGCGCTATTTACGATAATAAATGTATACAAATCTAAAAAATAAGCAGTAATGGAACAGTTAACGCCTATATGTAGTCGGTGCCAGTATCAATACAGATAAATGTATATTTCTTATGACAGAAATAAACATCTTCAATGTTTCATTTTTATCATCATGCAGTATAGTTATTTGCTCGCACGCAAAGACAACTTCAATCAAGTATGCATCATTTGTGATCATAATTACATCTGTACTACTTTAATTGTAACCATGGTGAATTGATTTACAATGTAATTTCTTAAATATTCATGCGATGGGAGCAAACAGCTTTCCTTAGTGACAATTAAACAAGATATACAGTGATATCTACATTTATTATTCATTGCAGACGAAAGAAACGGAAAAAAGTGATGTCAGAGCAAAGCTGTTTGGATAATAGAGTATTAACTTGTGTAACAATGGAGTATTTTGAGGATGATCTGTTTGATTGCATAGTTTCAAATAAAAGTTGTACAATTTTAGAATATCTTAAGAAAGGATTAGACGTAAACCACGCTTTCCGAAGTACAGAAAGGCCTGAAAGGTTGGGTAAGACTTTGTTAGAAATATCAGTGTTTTATGGAGTGACGGATGTCATTAAACTACTGATAAAAAGGAAATGTGATGTTAACTTAACATACATTGTAAACATTAAAGATTTTTCGTATCAATTAGAAGAGTTTAAGAGAGATGGTAGACTAAAATTGACATGCATGTTCCGATGTATCGTACAGTCTGAGGTAGACATTATTAAGTTGCTAGTAACTGGAGGCTTTGATGTAAATGTCTTTGATGAGCGAGGTTGTTCATCCATATGGCACGCTGCTGATCTCAACAATTACGATATGTTAAAAGCCATGTTGCTATCGAAAGAAGCTGATGTCAACAAGGCAGATAATACTTATTTAACACCTCTCCACATTTCTGCTATGAAAGGCAATGTAAAAATGACATCACTACTTATACAGCGTGGAGCGCATGTGGATAAAGTACAATTACGTGGTTCAACTCCACTTATTCTAGCATGTAGAGCTGCAGATTTTGACACAGTGAGAATACTACTTCTAAATGGTGCTGATCCTAATCACATAGGATACAATGGTCACAATGTCATATCAACAGCTTTACAATCGACCACTGATATAAGAATACCAGAAATGTTGATGTCGTGTGGTGCCTTGGTGGATTTAGAACTAATTAATTTGTGCAGAAAGGAAGGCAAGAAGTTTCTGCTATTGAAAGAACACCCAGAACTTTTTGAGCTTTTAAAGGAGAATGCTTATGCTCCGAGGACGATGAAGACATTTTGTTGTCTGAAAATTCGAAGGTTGCTGGTACAGTCACGGACAAAAATGCATTTAATCAAAAAGGTAGAAATATTGCCACTACCTCGCCTTATTAAGGATTATCTTCTCTTTGGACACGTCTAGTAACATTTTTTTCGTTTCAAAAAGTATATTGATAAGATGTATATGCCAAAGACTTAATATTTGTTTGTTATTGTATTTTTATTCTGTTATATTTTCTGTTATGTTTTGTTATGAATTGCTTTATTAGTAAATCTAATGAGGAAAATCGATGTCTTTTTAGTAATCAATGATTAACTTAGCTGAATGACTTATGATACAGGCGTGTATTACGTGGTGAGGTTCCTTTAGTTCAGACTTATTAAGCCATAGCTACCGAAAGATTTTTTTTACAAAAATCGTAAAAAAATCTTCTTGTAAAAAACCGAAAGAGCTTATATATTTGACATGAAACATCTTCTAGTGGGTTTCTACCAAGTTTGTTCAAATTAAAGTCCTAGGGTCAAAATTGGCATCGCCCCAGGGGAGTCATTGATTTTTTCCTTATATAGTAAAAACTTAAAAACTCTTCTTGTGAAAATCTGAAAGAGGTAGAGCTAAGATATTTAGCATGAAACATCTTCTAAATGATGTCTACTAAGGGGTCATTGATTTTCCTTATATGTATATAGCAAAAAACATAAAAAAATTCTTGTGACAATCCAAAAGGACTATAGATAACATATATAGCACGAAACATCTTCTAGTGGATGTCTACCAAGTCTGTTCAAATAAATGCCCTAGGGTCAAAATTGGCCCCACCCCAGGGGTCATTGATATTCCTTATATGTATATAGTAAAAACAAAACAAAAATTGTGACAATCGAAAAGAACTAGAGCTTAGATATTTGGCATAAAAAAAACTTCTAGTGGATGTCTACCAAGTTTGTTCAAATGAAACCCATAGGGTCAAAATTGACCCCCGCCCCAGGTGTCATTGATTTTCCCTATATGCGAATAATAAAAACTTTAAAATCCTCTTGTGACAATCCAAAGCCGCTATAGATTAGATGTTTAGCATGAAATATCTTCTAGTGGATGTCTACCAAGTTTGTTCAAATAAATGCCCTAGGATCAAAATGGCCTGGCGCCAGGGGTCATTGACTAAAAAAATCTTTGTTTGTTCAAATAAAAGCCCTAGGGACAAAATTGACCCCGCCCCAGGCATCATTGATTTTCCTTATATATACATGTATATAGTAAAAACTTTAAAAAAATCTTCTTGTTAAAATCCTAAAGACCTATAGCTTAGATATTGGGCATGAAACATGTTCTAGTGTATTTCTACCATGATTTTAAAGACCCTGCATGGCGTTTTTTCTTCTTTTTCTTTGACAGGGATTGTAAACACTTTTGTCAAATGACCATAAAAATGTCTCATGACATAAATAAAGAACTAAATCAACTGTCGCCTGCATAGTGCCTTATATTCTAAAATTTATAAATGTGAACGCCAATCTAAGAGTCCGATCAAATCTCTTTAATTGCACGTATTTGTTACATTCTTTTTTTTTCTTTCATTGACTTTAATTACACCGTATATATCCAGTCACGCAGGAATGTGCAAATAACGCAGGAATTGTGCAAAAGTAACGCAGAATTGTGCAATTTAGTGGCTAAAACGAGCACCGCGATAAGTAAATGGACCAATATTTTTTATTGTACACCAAATTGGAAGAAATGAGTTAGCGCATACGGTTGCTGAGACATTATACTTTAAACCTCATCAAAAATATTTCCATGAAAATGTTTATTTTTCAAGATCATTCGTGAAAATGACGACCTCATTAGCGTATTGATGGGATTTTTAGTTTACTTGATATCTTTAAATACAATAACGTGCATATTACTTTATGACTTTTTTATATTCGGTGTACCTGAGGCATTTTCCAATCTACTTGTGTCATATTAAAATGTATTAAAAGCATATTAAAAGCAGATCAAACGTAATTGAGACCATTTTTACGAGGTAACGCCGAATTTGTGAATGGAGCACTGAAGCAACGGCGGTTATCATATTAAAAGTAGCTAAATCCTATTTAACAGCTTCCTTCTATTGTTTCACGACACTTGTAGTTTGACAAATGTCTAAGATATGCGGAATATGAAAAAAATGAAGTTTTAAACGTGTTAAATGTACATATTTATTTGACGAAACACAAAAGTCACCTTCAAAACAGTAATCAGGTTGTCTTTCTCACGAATGATCTAAAAAGGTAAATTGTAATGCTGGTTAAAATATATATAATGTCATAGCAGCCGTATGCGCTAATTCATTTCTTTTAATTAAACTTAGAATAAGATAGTTTGGTTTGTTTACTTACTGTGTTCTTCATTTTGGCAATACCGTTGCACAGATTCGGCGTAACTTTTACGATAATTGCACATTCCTGCATGATTCGTTACTAGATATGCACGGTGAATTCGTTGACGATTAAACTTATACGCGTGTAACAAACTATCCTTAATGGCGCTAATCGACTTACTGGCTTTCCACATAAACAATTTTGAATCACGATTTTTTGTAACTATGATAATAAAAATACTAAAATTTGATACAAATATTGAAATTTGATGTTTATTAAAACAATAAGTATTCATTCATATTCAGCAATGTTACATTTAAAAAGAAATGGCAAACAAGTAAACAAATTAGTTTTACTGTAAAAAGTTAATATAATTATATTAAAAAGTGACAAATGATAGAAGATGCCAACAGTTGTCTGTTATAACCAATAATCACATATATCAAGGCCTGAACTAAAGTCATATTATATCATGTTTTAAATACAGTACAAATGGACTTTACTACTTACAAATAATTCTTAAAATGATAATTAGTTTCGAAATTTTATTTTCAAACATAAAGATTTCGCATATTAATCATGAAGAAATATTTTTTTTAATTCAGAACAGGAATAAGTGCTGTGTAAACTGAACATTAAATTTAAAAGCTTTGATGACCAATGTCTTGTATATAAAAATGTCACCAATTCGTTGATATTTTTATTTTTGAATTTTAGTTAGTCGCTCCAGAGATAAAGAAAAATCATTGTAATTCGGCAGCGAATCGGCGCTTCTATATAGACCATGACCACCAAACGTCGCCATCTGCACGCCTCTACAATTGATGATATTCTAAAAGTGTCCATGTCCGTGTCATATCCCTGTGTATCTTTAACCCGGCTCACACCGAACAACAAAAATGAGAAACAAAAATGTTTGAATTAGGCAGAAGTCTATAGCCTACACCTTCATCGTATTTTCTCATGTGAAGGTATTTTAAAATTGTTTTTATTACAGTAATTATAACGATTCATCGTCTTGAAAATCACAGGAAAAAATGATAAAGTTTTATCAATATGTAAACCATTGAATCTGAGTCTTTTCATCAAATGCTTAACTTTCGTTGTCGAGGGCACACTTCCTTCACTGTTGGTAGCACCAAAGCTGTCGCCATTTTTTGCTTTAAGTATCTGTGCTGTTCATTTGTCTTGGTGACTTTCAATTTGCTGGAAATGTTCGGAAACACAGTTTTCTGTGTGTCGTTAATCTCTAGTTTTGTTTCACTCTCAGCATGAAATACATCGCTCTCATTGTTTTCCTGTTTGTACTTAGACACTTTGTCTAAATTAGAGTCTGATACGCTAAATATCTTCGACTTGAACAAATTAGACTTTCTTCTTTTTCTCGTTTTCTTTTGTTCTGGTTTCTTTGATTTTTTGCTATATCTATATGATTGAGAAATTATACAATTGCCTTCTAGTTTGGGTAGATTCATTGCATGTAGGATTCTTTTGGTATGAATAGCACCTGTGTTTTCGAAGTTAAAATTGTCATGGGTGAGCTCTCTGTTCAGTTGTTTCATATTTAGTATGCATTCATCTGTGTAATCCTTTAACTTATGAACGTCAATAGTCTCATCAAAATATTGTAGTTGACTTTTCTCATCTTCCAATCTTACAAGCTCAGACGTAGTTTCCAGTCGATTACGGGATAACACCCTAAGTTGGTTATACCAAAGTTTATCAATCTTTTGTAACTGAACGTCTAAAACCTTTTGTTGTCGTTCATTCTGAAGAAATGCCTCTGTTGGGTCATATTGTTTTTGTTTGTGCCAAGCCATTGTGATAAGTTTACTTTTCTGAAAATAAAATTATAATTACATAATTGTCTAATGTTAACTTTATCATTAACATTGTTTGGTTAACTTAAAGTTTATCATGTACATGTATTTCACCTGGAATTTGAACACCCGTTTTCAATGAAGAAACATACTATTGGAAGACACTATTCCGACAAGATATTTAAACACAAGTATTGATCACTAAATAAGTTCAGTTGGCTGCCTACTTATACTGACTTACTTGTACGCTTCTAGTTCTCCATATTAGTGTTCCGAATACGTTTTGATATTCACTATAAATAATTTGTAAGTTATGTCGAAGTTAAAGCCGTTCTGGTACAAGTTTAACCGGATTACGTGTCAAACATGCTGTTTTCCTCTTCTACAATAAACATAGGTGCACACTCCTTCAACTTAAGGGTATTAAAGGATTAAAATTTTGAAATTGTATGAAACAGATTACTTCATTATATTACTGTGCACACATTTTTAAGGTGTCAATATACTCAAGTGCGACTTTCAATCTTCATACCATTGTTTATTTTTTTTATTATGGCCACGTTCGAACAAAGGGTAGCGGTGCGTTCGAACATAGGGTAGAGGTGAACCAATGGTAAAGGTGTGTGACATTTTATCCAGACATCAATTGTGGGTTTGACCATTCCACAGTGGGTCAGTCTTGGTAATCCAGACTATTTACCGGTATCGTTATAAAGTATGTATATACGGAATGTTTACTATGGCTCTCGACGGTGACAGTGGGTATACGAATCTACATCATGTGAAGTGGTGCACAGTGGCGCTTATGCTCGCAATAAAGTTTCGCAATTATTGACAGCAATTCCTTTTTTCTCTTTTGCCATGTGGGGCGATGTCCTTGTTAAGTTGTATGCCTCTCAACCCAGGGATCATTGATTCCTCAAATGACACCAGTACTGGTTAGTTCCAAGTAACTGACTCGTTTCAAAAAGTGGTTTCAAAAAAACTTGCAAGTTTTCACCATCACAGTAGAAATTAATTTGTTTAAAATAAAACAGTATCTTTCAAATATAACAGTTTTTTTTTCGTTCAGATTATTTGCTTAATGTGAATCGTGATAATGTTTATATGAATACCAACTATTTTATTTGCTCGTTAATTTATGTAGTTTATGTGTACATTATATTCAAATGTACTTTTCATGTTCTAAATACCAGTTTAAAGGGATTATTTATGGTGCATTTTAACCCATACTCAGTATCCCTCTAAGTATCTTAACTGGACTTGTGCATCTTTCAATCTGGACAAAACCATCTTTTTAAGGCGTTTCAAAATAAATACTTACTGAATAGCAAACAGTGCACACCAAGGTCAGACGGAACTGTCTTCAAGTGAAATGATAAGAGTGTCTGCTATATATTAAACGAATAAATAATTTTTAAACAGTTTCCGCGGGACACATACATCTCCGAAAACTCTAATTTTATCAAAATTTAATTATGCTGATTTGTTTTTATTTCAGCATTTGCATATTAAAATGCCAGTATCGTGTTTTTAAAAATGCGTTTTAAGTCAACCTGTTTTTATATTGAAATAAAAATGTGTAGTAACTTACAGTTTTAATTATACTTTCCAATTTCTGACCCACAGTTTGATTTTTTTTAATTACTGTTTGAATATAAACTCTAAGGTATCCAAGATAATGGAGTTTTCTTTTCTTTGCTTTTTATTAAAACCATATGAATTATACAAAACGCAAGTTCAAACATAATTTAAGCCTATACATGCACATCTCGCTCATTTGATGATGATTATACAATTAATTATATATATTGTACTAGCGTTTTAGATAACTGTTGTCAATAAAACGATTGTGCAAAATTAAAAGTACCTTTGAAAGGACTAAAGGCATAAAACATAAATTAGAATGGAAAAATGGATTAGATAGGGATATTGGACCTCGATCAATTCACGATCAAATAATACCTAGTATTAAGTTACATTTGTAACTCGAGAATTGATTCCGATTATAACTTCGGATTAAAAATTGTGAAATGATTTGAATAAAGTCACAGTGAATATGATACGGTAAAATGAAGATTGGTATTTCGTTTTCAACAATAAGTTTCAGTGGGGTCGAGCAAAAGTGTGTTTCAAATAGACTATAGACTATTGAATCTTATTTTCGACTTGTGTTTGCTGTTAAAAATGCAGCCGTAAATAAATTCAACTACATTCACAATTTAAACATTTCGACCGTTTTCGTCACTCTTCGGTTCCGAATGTTACGTATAAATGAGTTATACATGAAACTATCATTAACTTTCCTTTTTAAGGCAAACTTTGGACATTCTGTGCACTAATTCATATAATTAGTAAGCAGAAATTTATTATCATTTATTTTAAGTATCATTTAAAACGGTTTGAGTTATTTATGATGCCTTTATATGAAAAATGGTAATATATGTGCACAATACCGGCGGCCCGTATTCTGATGAAGAAATATATGGTTGAATTTTCCACAGGCGCTAGTCACATAATCAAATATCTTACACCGGTCTATATATGTAGATATCTTATTATAGTATATAGCCCATATAAAACTTTAAAAAGTTTGTTTCAAGCACCTGTGGAATTTTCGATTTCCGTCATGATTGAAAACTTTAGAGGTTTTATCAGATTATTAACATGACGCAGATCGCATGTTCGATTGTAGCATGCTATATATTTATATGTAGAAATACACATTATTAATGAGGGATTTATTCTTTGGTTATAGAATTATATTGTAATAGAAAAGTATTATTGTAATTACGAATGTTTACTCCTCATTTGTGTACCAATTAATACGTGTCTCGCCTTGCAGTTGTTGTTGTTGTTTTGGATAGTGCCTGTTAAGACTTATGGTGAGTAACACACATAAGGTCAGAAGCGGCTGGGCACGCACTTTACGCTTTCATTTATTTATTCATTTATACAATCAATCAATTAATCAATCAATCAATCAATCAATCAATCAATCAACCAATCAATCAATGAATCAACAACCAAACAACCAATCAAACAAACAATCAATATTTTTATTAATTTGAAAGGACTTAATCAATTTATCAAACGTTTTCGGTGCAAAGCAAATTTATCGGTTCGGACATGTGCACGTTTATTAATTAATAATGTTTATGTTGTCAATGGACGTAAAACAAAATTAAAAAGTAATTTAATTGTAACCAGAAACTTGATCCGCCAATATTAGACCGGACTCCTAAGTAATGGGACAAAATCATGTTGTTAGAATTAGTAATTTCAATTTTGCAACTTATTAATGTCATGTTCAAGCCAAAAGGAGGTGGACTATATAGTGCCATATAAATTAATTAAATTAATCCGGGAGATTTATCACCTGTAGACATTCAACAACTTCAACGGGTTATCACAAGCACGTATGTCTGATATATATCCCTATATATTTTTCTTAAGTGGTTCAGTTTAGATCGAGAAATCCAATTGTTTTATATCCTCAAAGTGATAATCTAAGGACATAATAAAGTGTACTTTTAGACTTTAAAGTTTTACGAATTTACAGAGTACACTACGTATTGGCATAAAAGTAAATAACCAACTACCAACTCTGTTAAACAAAGGATTAGCACTATTACTTTGTCTTATAAGGCATGTAAAGAGAATGCTTAATCAGACCTGGGGATTATAATTATTATCATTTGATAGTCAAGTAATCATTAATTGATGGATAGTGTAAGGAATCAAAGGGCGGCAAGCTCTGTGGTATTTTCTGATCTTTGCAATCTTAATCGTACTGTATCATGTTTAAAGTAAAAAAGATAAAGCCTTTATCATGAGTACTTTCTTTTTCTTTAACTTTTATAAGTTTAATCCACATGTTTTAACATGTTTTCTTTTTTGTAGCTATGAACACTTGATATCTAAAGACATAACAATAGTTTAAACTGCATTTACAATATTTATAAACACAATGAAACTTATTAATGGATAATTGCAACCTGGAAATATACTTGTAGCGTTATCTGATACTTGAGCTTATCAGTAATTAATGTGGTCAAGATGTGTGTTTTCCTTCATTCTCCCTAGTAAATTGTACGTAGTACCGTGTGTATGTTTACCGTCTATAGTCACGTGACGGGCTTGTCGATACAGTGTATATATGTATGTATTGTCCTGCATAAGTTTATATACTATAATTCATTTTACAGGGCACCGAGATGCAGCGACTGCGTTTAGATTTTTTACTATTACAGTTTGAGTTTGATACATACGGAATTTTGCATGACTAGAGTTGCATCAAAAATCATTTATGTTCATTTTTTTACGACAGCCACACTTATCCTTGCATATTAAAAAAAAGACACTTAAAAGAGATAGTTGCCTCGACTGGGATTTGAACCCCAGACATCTCACACCCTGAACGAGCGCGTTACCCCTGCACCTACGAAGAAAGTCTGAATAAAATCAAATAATTCTAAATTTGGAATTTCCATTTAGGGTTTGTAATCCTTATTAATTTCGAGGTATTTTGTTCACGATAAGCCTGTTGTTTAACACTGATGTAAATAATTTAGCGAAAATCTTCTCGCCAAAACAGTCCGACATGTATATATTCCACTATTTCGACAGTCAGATTTATTTGTGTAATCGACATCGCTAAAAATAGCATTTTCATTTATTAAAATGATATTCATCCGCGTAATTTGTAATTGTGCATTTATTGACAATTCTATAAGCCAACGTTACTTTTAAATTTTGAATGCGTTGTAATTTGTTGGATACTTGAAACAAAATAAAAATATTTCTTTCTTTTACATCGGTAGTTTTAAGCTGTTTTGAGAACTACTTGTTGTTATGTTTGTCGTGAAATACTGTGCCAGAGATTGAATGTCAGCATTGTATTTCCTGATCTGCGATCAGAAAATACAAAAACTGTCCTCTAGAATTCATTTTAGTTTGTGTTGGAAACTTAACGCTTGTTGAAACACTCTCGAATCCGTTCCTGGAACTAACAGGTACTGAGCAATGAGTGTAAAGTGTCTTGCTCACTAAAACAACGGCTTGCCCCTAACGGGTTTTGAACCCACGCGTTCAGCAGTCCTTAGATTACTAGTCTGACGCGTTTACTACTCGGCTTCGCCATGTCTTTAAGTGAATCAACAGGGATTGTCAAGTATTATTAGAAAATGTTTCATTAAAATTGTCAATTTGAAATGGAGATCAATATTGAAATAACAAGAGTCGGTTTGAACCGGGTGATGCTCCCCGAATAGGTGTTGGACGCAGAAAAGTATTAAAATACACCTCTTGTTGTTTCAGTTATGTTCCGGACAAAGTTCAAAGTGCAATAATTCCAAAACTAGGCAAGGCAGAGTAACTGTTCTTTGCCCTGCTCATCAACCCGGTGAAATATATCTACCTACAAAGTGTCTTATTCATATTTCTTATGATTCTGGACAATGTTCAAAGTGTGAAAATGAACAAATGGCAATAACTCCAAAATTATGCAAGGCAGAAATACGGTTCTTTTGCACGACACTTCTATTCAATGAGATCTATCTACCTACAAAGCATCTTGTACTTTCAGAGCTAATTCATGGAAAATGTTAAAAGTGATAAAATTAACAAAGGGCAATAACTCCAAAATTAGACAAGGCAGAGTTATGGTTCCTTTGCACTGCATTTCTACCCTTCCTACATAGTTTCATGTTGATATCTCTTGTTGTTTCAGAGATATGTCCAGGACAATAAAGGGAGACGGACGGACGGACAAAGCGGCAACTAAATGCTCACCCTTCGGGAAGTATAAGAATGGAAGCATAGTTTATGTGACTTTCCCATATCATTTACTTTGTATTGATTAGTAGTTGTGTGAAGTATGAAGCCATTGGTACAGGTAGAACTTAAGAAAAATCCAACTTTTCATTTAAGGTTAACCTCGTAGGGACAGACGGACGGACGTGCCAACATTTGTGGTTTATGTGCTTTTTCTTTTATTCTTATGTGGCACTTTTCCACATAAACCAGTAAAATTATCACATTAACCAGTCGGTTTATGGGATTTCCTTTTTTTTAATTAAGATTATGGACGAATTGAAGCTTCAAAACCATTGGATGTTGACAAACGGACACACGGACGGTTCAATTACTATATGCCCGGGGGTGGGGATAAAAAGTACCTTAAATTGCGAGGACGAACTGTTTTGCGTAAATCCAATATCAACATACATTTTACTGCTTGCCATTCAAAGCAGGTTAAAACATTTCATTGGATATTAACGATGCAAGCATTTTGGTCAAATTTTTATTATATAGAATAATACAGATTCTTCTGACAAATTTCATGTTTCCTAGTTGAAAGAAAAAGAGTTTTTTGTTTCCTCAAACAAATTTGCTTTGGGGAGTATATTTCCCCGCTTTTACAGGTACTTTTGTTTTTATTTCATTACTCACAAGGTACATCTGCTTATAATAATTGTATTTGTAGAAAATATTGTAACATAACTACTTTGATTGCGATCGACTGGCATAATGCATTTGTCTTGTAAAAAAACTCCTTAACAGTAAAACTACCATACCAATATACAAAGCCAAATTTACATATAAACTCCGTAAATGCAAACCAGTCAAGAGCTATGTTATTTTGTATTACAAGCATGTTACTTAAGACATGTACAACGTACAGAAACATATCAATTTAACATACAGAAACATATCAATTTAAATTACAGGAGTTAACAGCAAAAATGACATTATAGTCTATGAAAAATCAACTAAATATTTCTTATACAAAGATAACATATAAAGTTTAATCATCAATCTTCAGACTGTACGGAATTCTGATCTAACTGGGTATATTCAGTATCATCTGGTCTCACTTTAAGTTCAGTGTCAATATCTACATTGAATCTTTCTTTCCTCTTGTATGTAAATGCTATAAAAACAACAGTAATTACAAATACCAATATTGCTGAAACTTGCATTGCATAGAGAGCTGTTCTTGGTCCATAATTTTGATAGAAAATACCTTCTATCCAGATATAAAACATATCTCCAAGGCCAGTCATGAATACAATCAATGTAAGAACAACTCCCCCGACTTCAATCTGTGTATTTGCATAAGATATCCCAGCAGGAAACATGGGAGCTACGAAAAACCCAACTACTGCTGTAAAAGTCCACAGAAGTGACTTGTTCTTTGTAGAAAATATGTTAAGAAAAGTCACTGCAGAGAGATTCAATATTGCATCGGTTAAAAATAATGTTTTAATATGTACATAGTGTGACAATACTGCTCCCATGAAACGACCGACAGTAAAACTGCCCCAGTAAACTGTGTCCAAATATGAAGCTTCATCTCGGGGAAAACGGAGTTCATCAACAGAAAACGTTCTGATGAAATTTCCAAAAAGCTGTTCACCGCCGACCGAGTTGAAAAAGTATAACCCAATCACAATGAAAACAAATGTACCGAATTTTAAAGAACCGCCAGCATACACTGCTGGATTTATTGTGTCGATCAATTTTCTTAATTTTGTTTTTTTTGAACATTTATTCGTATCAAACGAGACGTACTGATTTCTATCTTTATCTTTTATAAGAAAACATTTAACAAACGGATATACAAAAAATGGTAATGATAGCGCCAGTGACACTAATCCTATTGCTACATATGCCGTTTGTACACGTGTTTCCTCAATTATCACGTAAGACGCTGTGTTCGGGATACTTTCGTTTCCTCCTGTTGTTGCATTAGTATGGGTAAAATCAAGCACTGCAAGAAAGGGATTGGCAATCAGAGGTGCAGCAAGTGCGCCTATTCCAAAACCCATATGCGCAGCATGCATGGGGGCAGGTGACTTCTCCTTCCACATTTCCAAAATTATCCTTTGCCCGGCTGTAAGAAAATAAATAAACACAATAAAATACATGCATCATTGAACAGTAGCACTAGTGAAACATCCGGTGATATACAATATTTAACAAAGAAGTCAAAGAGAAAAAAATAATTTCCTTATAAACTACCCTGCCGAGCACAATACCAAACCATTGATTTTGTTAATGATCCTGTAACACAATTTTTTCATGATTTTATTTCATAAATATGATGCTCAAATTAAGATTTGTCAATATTGTAAGTTCAAATAAGCATTATTTATAAAGATATTACCCAATTTAACATTTCATGTAAATAAAGGGAGGTAATTAGAAATTTATTTTCTATAAATTCTAAGTCAAATTTTCCAATAAGAAATGAATGCATGTAATTTATTGATTAAATATAATGTGCACAAATATTTGCAGTACACATTTTACATATTCTTTGATGTTTGAAAATTGTTTTATTTGCATAATTATATGCATATATTTTTTGCAAGGTGGTATACAAACAGTAACAATATCAATCACAAAACATACAGGCTCCAAAATTCTGTTAAACGTGCCTTGCCCAGAATCGATTCCCCGTTTATGTCCCGTTCCAGTTGTGTGAAACATGACATACGAGTCACCGTGTATATCCAGTAACGCATGAATGTGCAAATAACGCAGGAATTGTCAAAAGTAACGCAGAATTGTGCAATTTTGTGGCTAAAACGAGCACCGCGATAAGTAAATGGACCAATATTTTTTACTGTACACAAAATTGGAAGAAATGAATTAGCGCTGGTTGCTAAGACATACTTTAAACCTCATCAAAAATTTTTACATGAAAATGTTTATTTTTCAAGATCATTCGTGAAAATGACGACCTGACTAGCGTATTGATTGCGATTTTTAGTTTCGTTGATATCTTTAAATACAATAACGTACATATTACTTTATGAGATTTTTATATTCGGTGTACCTGAGACATTTTCCAATCTACTCGTGTCATATTACACTTAATTTAGCAGATAAAACGTAATTGAGACCATTTTTACGAGGTAACGCCGAATTCGTGAATGAAGCACTGAAGCAACGGCGGTTATCTCATTAAAAGTAGCTAAATCTTATTTTACCAGCTTCCTTCTATTGTTATACGACACTTGTAGTTTGACAAATGTCTTAGGTATACAGAATATGAAAAAATAATGTTTTAAATGTGTTAAATGTACATATTTATTTGACGAAACACAAAAGTCACCTTCAAAACGGTAATCAGGTTGTCTTTCTCACGAATGATCTAAAGAAGTAAACATATTCCTGAAAAAAATTGTAATGCTGGTTAAAGTATAATGTCGTAGCAGCCGTATGCGCTAATTCATTTCTTTAAATTTGATTTAGAATAAAATATTTTGGTTCGTTTACTTACTGTGTTATTCGTTTCGGTAATAGCGTTGCACAATTTCTGCGTTACTTTTACGATAATTACACATTCCAGCGTTACTGGATATACACGGTGCGAGTTGTCTTGTATATTTTAGGGAATGCATTCCATGAACGTCGTTCTCCCTCGTTGATTTTCATGAAATGTAATTTATTCTTACTTCTAAAGTCTTTCATTTACATAAGTACCACATGTATCTGTCTATTTCACGTATTTTTCTTACCGACATTGACGACCCCACCAGCTGTTCCAAGTAGAAAGAACATGAACCATAAAACTGAAATTGTCCCTACAAATGGCATGGACACAATTGTGACTGTAGCAAGCAACTGAACACCAGTGACCAGCAATATCTTCCAAGTACCAAGCATATCCACGAACAATCCACCAATCAAAGCACCGAGAAACATGCCAATACCAATAGCAGATACAGCGCGAGCTACCTCTTCAGCATTTGCATTAAAATACATTCGAAGATCTAACATTGTCGGGCCACCAATTTCTCCGTACAGTCCCTGGAATAAGAATACTATTTGTATTACCAATATATATATATAAGTGAAAACCCTAAACAGTGTGTTGTTATCAATCAAAGATTACAATTGTATGATATAATTCTATTTCATACCATATGAAATGTTACCAATTAACATCTAGTGTTTGGTCCACATGATCTTCTAATATAAATAATTATTGGATCCAATGTTACCAGTTTAGCCTTGTTTTCATTTTACATTGGCAAAAATCCATATTCAATTATTAATGTATTTAGTCTAGCCTCGTTTTCTTTTTCTTAGGGTAAAAATAAAATTCAAATTAATTCACTATTGTACACTGGCTAGCCTCATTCAAGATTAACACTGGCTGGCCGTGTTTCATTTTCAGAGTCCAAAACATCATTTGGTGGTGTGAAATAAAGATGTCTTTATTCATTATTGGGTACAATACTGATTGTTTTAGACGTGTACTTAGCTGCAATACCTATAGTACTTATCTGCAATACCTATATTAGCCTCGGCTTGCACCTCGTCCAATATAAGTTTTACAGCTGTGTAGTTGTCCAATAGCATTTACTACATGTATCATTCTGAACAATATACCTCATAATGTCATATGATTTCGACATATCACTATACCCGACACTATACCCGAGATATCAGTAATACAAATCCCTGTAGACATATGTATAGTAAACAGGAAATCTGCAATATATTATCATCATTGTTTGCTGGATAAACTTAAATAATATATAATTTGCCCATCTGTCTATTTAACAAAAGTTCTAACTACTTTGATGACAGTATAAAGAAATATAGCCGGATTGTGAAGGTTAGACGAGATAATCGAACCTTCGATAATTTGTGCATTATGCACAACTGACAGCCTGATATCGTTGATACATAAATTTTCGGCACAATGAGCTACTCTCTTTTCGAGAATTGTGTCCCCTTATCTTGATATGATTAAGATAACCATCATAGTGAATATAAAATGATGTCCGTGCTGGATGGAGTACATAATGTGCGAAATCTCTCACGTACTGCATTGCGCTTATTTCTGACGTCCGATGACGTCAAATGGTGGATTGATAGTATCATTTGCAGATCATCACTACCATAGAAGCTGGGATTATACCATTTCCAAGAGAGAAGTAAGTTACGAACCTGCAAACATGCCACCCAGCCTACACTCTAGATATACGAGGATTTTTGTTTTGTTTTTCATCACGCATGTAATATCCCACGTCCTTGGCAATACAACCAATATTTTATTATCAAAATACCACAGCGATAAAGATAATGATGATTTGATTTGTTTGTACCAACACTCATACAATTTAAGTTTCAGCTCAGTAGATTAACTCATTTTAAGTCGGATTATTTAGAACATGTGTGGTATTTGTCTACAGTGTATTTCAATGACAAGGGCATACAACACAATAAAATGACTTGCAACATTAATATTCACATAGCGACATATAAGAAGTATATATATAACTTGCAAGTGAGCACGAATTTACAAATGCAAGTAACTGGGTAAGTCTAAACCTATATGAACGACTCGCTCCATAAACAGTTTCATATACTATTTTTAATCTTTTAATTAAATAAATTCATACCAAGGGAAACAATTTACTAGCTCCTTTACGTGCAAGGGGTAAAGAAACATTTCATTGGACCGAAAGTCTTGTTATAGTGACTGTTGTAAGGGTGATGAGATCGAACTATTTGTAGTGTTACCACTTGGCCACTACGATCACACTTGCCTTGATGTTCAAGTAAAATCATAAACTTTTAACCGCTTACCACGAACGTATGAGTGCACATATTACCGTTTATTATAAATACACGTTTGTTTCTTTGACATAAGTCTGAATTGCTGTACATAACAGTGATCGTAAGTTCGAATCCTACACAGACGAATTAATTATCTTACCATCGTTAAGTATGCAGTAAGAACTGTGCGAGACAGTAACAAATGTGCAGATGAAAAAACTGTACAGTAGATATATATATACACAAATATATGTGTACATCTACTCTTTTGGGTTTAAATAACACATATAATGTTGATATAAAAAAAACTTACCATTGACACCCATGCTAATATCAGCATTACAGTTACTATCTTCCTGTGTATACCCTCCATAACTTTATTTTCCTGTTATAAATAGTAAACAGTGGTTATGTCAAACGATTTTTTTCCATATCGCATTACGACACATTTTACACGTAGTTTACATTTAAATTGATTAAACCAGTTTGTATATACGTCGTCACAATGGCTGGTTTTACCTTCATACACATGTTATTAATACATGTAGTCATATTTTATAAACAAACGTGTGCATTTCAATACGTAGATGTGTATTAAATTTGTCATATTTTCCCTAAAGATTATTGATGCATATAATAGCGTTAATGCACAAACAGAATGAAATTTAAATGAATGAAATACCCCCTTAGTCATCGACTACGATTCATATCCTATTTCTTCTTACGATAACAGGCTATAATTCACTGTTTCAAAGCATTATAAACAATATTATATATATATATATATATATTTATAATGTCCAAGAAAATTTCTATTGAAGTAAAGTAAATGCCGGAAGTATCTAAACATATGCCAGTTTTCTTGTACCATGGGCAGACATTGAACTTGGTTTGCACTTGCCTCTAGCGAAAAAAGCTGCCAACAATCAGATTGATAAATATTGACAGTCTCAAAATTAACATTTTAATTAAGTCTCGTGTTAGGCAAACAAAAACATAATTATCTTGACTAAAAGAGCGTAAAACAAATATGGGCCCTTACTTGTGAAACCTCAAAATAACATTATATGCGCATTTTTATGCACATTTTTTATATCTTAATTAATTTCATCAAATTAGATGCAATTATTCTTGAAGTCTATTAATTACATTACATTAATGCTGTCATATTATTCACCGATTTCACACTAACATGAAAGTCCACTTGCGCATTGGTGCAAAATCACGATTGATCTCTTTTTATAGTTAAGTCATCATTTTATCAAGTCAAGTATATGAACTTCACCGTCTTAGAACATTTATGAACCCATACTTTAAGGCTATTAGGTAATCCATCAGTAAACAAGAGCTACACACAAAGTCATGTAGAAATTAGTTACTGTAACTGCTTACATTAATATTAATATATATATATACACATGTAAAGCTTTAATATAAACAGCTGTTGCAATCGCTTGATGAAAAGCATTGATCGAAACTTGCCAAACAACGTTGATGAAAAAAGATCTTATCTCAATATCATGTAAGTCAATATCATTTACAATAGAAAAATAGCAAATACACATATCATATACGAAATACAATAGATAAAAATGAAATTCCTTCAATAAACGGACAAGTTAGCAAAATTACTCATAGAATCCGTTGCAAATGCAAATATACTTACTTGTAATGTGTATTTAAATTTAGCACACACCCGTGCCGATTTGGCGACTCCGTAAACTGGTATTGCACGGCCGTGCATATATTTTGACGTGACGTCATTACCGTTATACATCCAAACTCCCAAACTCCTCACAGTGATTACCTCCCTTGGCAGAATTGTAATCGAGTGAGACTAAATAAAGGATTGGAGCACCACACTAAATACCGTATTCCGGTATATACCGGACAAGGCGCTTGAATCGTAAAATGCCAAAATCTTGCTTTTTTACGCAACGGAATGAACTTTAATAGGTCTAATTCATCTTTTCACACTGATTTATGTATCATAATGCATGAAAAATGTTAAAATCAGCGAAAAAAACGATATTTGTCTATTATGTGATCATGATTTCTGCAAGCGTCTAGAGGTACTGCTCCAATCCTGTATTGAGCTAAATCCATTGTAATCACTGCCTTCACAGACGTCACATGATGATGAAAGTCACATGACGTAACGTCGAAATTCAAATGTAAATATCGACCGTTACATAGAAAATCTAACGTCATTTTTCTCTTTCTGTTTTATTTTTAACTTTTTTTACCTACGTCTGTTATATTTTATCAAAAAATTATCAAAAGTATACAAAATAATGAAAAATAAATTAAAAAGCTAAAAAATATAAATATCCAAATATTGATATTTCAATGTTTGTGATGGCAGAGCAAACTCCTCACAGCGGTTACGTCACGCTTTGCTACTTTAACTGTACAGATCAGGGGAAGTAACCGCTGCGAGGAGTTTGATGGCAGAGATCTCTGTACTGATAAGGGGAGATCATTGCGTAAAAAGGAAGGTTTGATGATATTCCAAGAGAACTTAGAACTTGTAACCTATGTACCAGTAACTCTTTAGGCGACGAATTCCATTATCTTTTTGAATGTTCACATTTAGTCAATACAAGAAAGCTGTATCTTGATAAATATTTCTATGAACGTCCAAGTGCTTTAAAATTTGAAAAATTAATGAACCATAGTAATAAAGATATCCTTTTGAAACTTGCCATATTTTGCAAAAATATTATGTTATTATTTAAATAATGTTAGCTTATTAGATTATGTATTTTCTCTTTGTTTTTTTTCTCGCAATGATTTTTGATTTTTCTCTCTCATCCTCCATTATCAGTCAATTATTACAGTCATTTTATTACATCATGGAGTTGTATGACCATTTAAAATTTGCCATTTTGTAGTATTTTGTTTTTACATATTATTTGCCATTTTGTATTATTTTGTATGTATGTACTGTTTAATGTTGTCACATGCCCATATGGGCCCTGACGTATTCAAATAAACCGAGATTGTTATACATCGTGTAATGTTAGCGTTATACTATAGGCGCGTCATACGCTCCCTTCGCAGCTTACTGAATACACTCCCGTTACTTCAGTAAGAAGTGAGCGATAGTGGAACATTCGACCGATGCGTAGGAGAGTAGGCGCGTCAATGAAACCTGACTTTTTTTTTCACTTTAAACGGTCTTTATTTTGGGTAAGTGATAAATAGAATATTAAATTCGTGTAAGTTCATCACTGAATTTATTGCACGAGTTGAATAAAATTATATTATGCGAGCCTCTAACTTACACTCATTTAATATCCTTTATGTATGAAATATTAACCATATTCAGGAAAGTCATTCTGGGCTCACACTTATACTAGCACCCGCTTGCGTCGAACCAGATGCACCAAAGGGAAAAAAAAACCAAAAAAAAACTAATTAATGCAAAAGTTTTTTTACAATGTATAACTGTGTCACCTATCAAGCATATTATTGAGCCGTTATACATAGGGCCTATACATGTAGTATGTTTTTTCTCATATCAATTTTTTTTATTATTATTTGTTATGAGAATTCTCTTGTATCACATGTGTAGATCGTTATTCTATATATATTGTATTGTATATTGCTGTATTCATGTAACAATGTGTTAGTTGAAAAATTATGTTTTTATGACATTTTTTTTTATTTCCGCGATATCGTCACGTATAGTTAAACGGACGTTGCGTCATTTGTTATTTTATAAACATCAAGACGTCAAAAGCTAAATATAAGCGTCTATATGCCCAGTTGTGGTGGTAAGTTTTAACAGTCTATGTCACTAGAAGTCATTTTCGCTAATGCATGTACATGAATTAATTTATATTCCTGAAATTATGTATGCGCGGAGAAACAATTAAACGCTTTCAATTAAAAATAGACATTGCACAATTTATATTGACAATCTATAGGCCTATTATCATATCTAGAGATATTTCAAAGAAGAAAGGCGGCAAAAACTTTAAATATATCAAGTGTTTTTCATGACACTATCAAATAATAATGGCAAATGTTCATACATACTCTTTACTTGTCTATACACAAAATAGAGATAACACTAACGTTAAGTTTATATAGTTGCATGTTTGTGTGTTTGTTTGTGTTTCTTCTTTATTATTGACATAATTTGAATGGACATGTACGAGATACTAGTATTCTACACGATGTAAATCGTTAACCATTCAACGAAAGATAAACCTAATTCTTAAGTGATACGTAACACAACTGGAACGACTACACGATATATACATACTTAACTCTGATGTGTTTGTTTACAGATTAATGTGAACATGTAAACCAATGTGGATATTTAAACAAATGTGATTAAATTTGGGAAATAATAATTAGCATTGCTCGGAGTAATTATGAACTGTGTACCGTGTAGCAAGAATGTCAAGAGTAATCAAGCTGTCAAGTACTGTGTACAGTGCCAAGAGTATTTCTGTTCGGCATGTATAAAAATGCATAAGAATTTCACGTTGCTTGCCAAACATTCATTATTAGATATTACAGAGAAAACGCAAATCAAAACAACAAAGAATGAAGAAGAAAATGTTGAATCTCGTGAAACTGAAGATGTTGGGATGCTTCAAGTACCGACTGAGAGGTGTTTAAAACATCCGGCAAAAGTTGTTGACATGTACTGCAAGACTCATGATGATGTTGGCTGTTCTGTTTGTTTTATTCCACATTACAAGTAGGCCTTACCATCTTTTAACTTTCCTAATGTAATCAGTTAAGTGAACAAAAGTTTGTTGTCGCATTTAAATTAGTGATATTTGTCGTTATACGTTAAACTATGTGTCGTCTACATACACACTTTAACAGATCTCGAGTGTTATACATGTATGTACAAGAAGTAAAGTATTGTACGTGTATTGTATTGATTACTACATTCACAATGTACTTCCTCATATAAATGTAAAGATTTTTACGTGTACCGAAAGCGATATACGATTATAATTATGTATATATGACTTAATCATAATATAGATATATATAAAAAACCACTTTGATAATATTTAAATAATAAATAGGCAGCGTTCTCTTGCACTGTACATAAATTATTATATAGTGAGATTTATTAAAGTATAAATTTAACATTAAAACATGTCAAAACTTCATTTCGCTGTCAATGTGAAGCGGATATAATAATAAAATATATCATGTCCTTTTGCTGTATTCAAATCGTGCGGGGTCACTTTTTTAAATAACTACACGGAATTTAAGCTTCATATATACAAAACATCTAATAACTCAGTTTTTGGTGTCATACGACTAAAATATGTTATTCCAAATTTCTTTACTTATTCAAAATCGTAAAATACAAACAAATAAACAGTGTAGTACAATTTTTCTTCACAGGGGGTGCGACGATATTCATTATGTTCCTGACATTGCCGATGAAATGTTCCATGAGGATGCCCTGCAGAATATTGCTGACGAGCTCACAGCCTGTAAAGAAAGGTTGAAACAGTTAATAGAGTCATGTTTCCATGCTTCCAGCCAACTGGTGAAAATGAAGACAGCATGCTTAGATGGCCTCAAAGCTTTTAGAGCGGAGATTAATGATATGTTTGATGAAATACAGGAAAAGGCGACAAGAGAGATTGAGCAAAGATACAACGACTTAGATATGAAGCTAAACAATGACAAGATGTCAGTAAATAAAGCTATTGCCCAAATGGAGAATCAGTTAGCACGAATGAACATTACTGATTGTAATAAATCTTCCTTATTCGTTTCAGAAAAAATATCCAAAAATTTAACTAAAGTCGCAGATGATTTACAAAGAAACGTTGGCAAACCTTTGAAAAAAGCCAAATTCTTCTTCAAAGGCGATTCTTCTATCAAGACATATCTAAGTCAGTTTTCAACCCTGGGACATGTTCGAGACCAGAAAAACGTTTTCGGTGTGATCAAGGAAAAAACAACACATGCAATAGATATAGAGAGTGATGAAGATATCTGCAATATTTGGGGCACGTGCATATCAGGAGATGGCAACATTATCATAGCCGACAACACAAATAATAAATTAAAATTATTAGACAAACAAACATACCAAGTAAAAAGTTTTTGCATATTGTCAGCTTCACCAAGATCTCTATGTAGAGTGAGCGATTCCGAAATTGCTGTAAGTTTAAGTAACAGGGTAATTCAGTTCGCCAAAACAAAAAGCGAACTTGCCTTGACTAAGTCTCTTCAAATGGAACATAACTGTTTCGGGCTGGCTCTAACGAAAGGCAACATTTACATATCAGATGGTAGTCAGAATGTTTATGTTTACGACAAGGGCGGAAATCTACAGAGAACTATATCCCAGGAAAGCAGTGGCGACCCAATATTCTCAGAGAGCAGGGACATTACTGTCTCTGATGATGGTGCCAAGATACATGTAGCTGATAGCAGGAAGGGTCTGATCACTCTTAATATCAACGGGAACGTGCTTTGGCAATATACTGGGTCTGAACTGAAAGGGGCGTATGGTGTATGTACAGATGGAGATGGCAATCTTCTGGTTACCGGCATTTTGTCGCATAACGTTATGCTTATGAGTCAATCTGGGGAGAAAATTGGGTCTATTATAAATGAATCTGATGGTGTACGTAGTCCAGTTTCTGTTTGTTATGATCATTATAAATCAAAAGTTTTAGTCACCAAAAATGGCAATTTTCTGATTGCTTTTGAATTTGACTGACTGTAAAAGTTTTATAAAAGTGGACTGTTATGTTAGATTCTGCTATTAATAATAACATTCATGATAGTCATTATTGTTTACTTGAGGTAACAGGTTCTGAAAAATTGACATATCTCATACTTAAAATTTCCCTGATAAAATATGCCATAAACTTAAATTATTCTTCGATGTTTTCAATCTGTTACCAAGCAAAACGTTTACTTATGATTATTATATCATCTGTTAAATAACAGCTTTTTTGTTTTCTTGTTGACTTAGTTGCCCACATGATTACAATATATTTAGTTTGTTCCGTCAGTATTTGTGTGTTCCACGCATTTCAACACAGTCATTTCTTTCATTAAAAAATAATTAGAATTATTAAAAATTGAAGCTGAAAGGACGTCAAGTACGGCAAATACAAATTTTTGGGTTTGACTGACCTGACTTTCTCCCCAAATAAAAGTATTCTTATGTATTCTCAAAATCTTCTCCTAGCAAAGAAAAAAACAGCGCTCATTGCATTATACGAATTTTCCACTTCAAGCATAGTATTTTTTAAGTTTTTTAAAAAAGAAGAAATAATTACTGAATGTTCGTGTGGCTTGTGTTTTAATTTTGATTAAATTTTGTAATGTATATGCAAAGCTGAAAATATAATAAAATTTTGATTTACATGTATTGTTTTACATAAAACTAGCACAGCCATTTTTTCTCTGATCACTAATTAATGCTTACAATGTTTTATATGTATACTGCTTTTTATTACATGTTTTTCGGTGGTTTATAGAAATATATCAGTGATATAAAACTGGTAATTTCACTGTTTGAAACAGTGAAATTACCACTTTGATAATTTCACTGTTTTGAATTTAAGCCCCTTACGTTAATTCAGTGAAATACCAGCGTGCACTGTACTGGGTACCAACTTTATGACGTGACGTCGTAAATGACGTCACGTTGTATTATTATTTGGCGCGCTTTTCATTCAGTATTAGGTTAAATGTCTTTTTAAAACGTTTCTTTGCATGTAATAAAAAGAAAATTTGTTTAGTTTAGTGTAAGATTGAAATATATTTCACCTTGTGAACACCAAAAGTTCATATTTCACTCGTGGCTGCGCCACTCGTGAAATATACCTTTTGGTGCTCACTCGGTGAAATATATTCCGATCTTACACTGAACTAAACAAATATCCTCTATATAATAGATTTTATGCCCACATAAAATAATTTATGTCATTGTTCTGTCCCTATACTCATTACTGTACAGAATATTACGGGTCAGGTTTTTAGCCGTTACGGGGCAGGTTTTAGCCAAGTACGTCTTAGCCAATCGATATCAAGACTTAAATCATGTGATGTTAATTAACCAATGATTACATTAGATCTATCACAAAGAAATAATTTTGGCGAGGAATGATTCTCGCCTTTCTGTTTACTAAAATTTATCTATTTTTGAAGTCATAAGCTTTATTTAAAGTGAACTAATTACGTATTACTATGAACAGTTATCTTATTAATCTGCTGGGAGCGAATTTTAGGGACGGTGTTCCCCGTGAATTACGGACATTTCGGACCACGGACGTTTCGGACCAGACATTTCGGACCAGATTTTTGGGTCATTTCGGACCAGATTTTGGGACATATCGGACCATTCGATGGTCATTTCGGACCATGATGGGGACACTTCGGACCAGAACATATATTTCATTTTATATATAATTATTTGTTATTTCAGGATGTATTTACAATATATGACATTTTTTATATTTTATGATATTCAAATGCATGCAGTAAAGACATGTCCGACGCGATTTTAACATTTTCTGATAAGCTTACTGTATATTACCGTTGTTTTGACTATCCATGTAAATACTTCTATCGCAATTCATTTATGTATTTCTATACGCTGACAATTTTTTAAAATTGAAAAAAAATTAAAACAATAATAGAATACCTTTAGATCTATATTGGTAAGCGTAGGATATACGCTGAATATACATATTTAAAGTCAACTTTATCCAAATTAAATCGTGATCTAGCAGGTATTAAAGAACAGCGACATCCTTGTCAATGCAGTTTTTCACACGTTTTAATTGCTGAATAGAAGTCGTTTAAGTTACGATTCACTCAATATGTAATTTTCACCTAATTTTACAACAAATATTTAAATTGATTGGATTAGATTGGAATGCGATTAAAGTACAGTTTTAATTAACAATAAACAACAAACAAATTGATTAATTGTAAACAAATTTGAAGTCCAGACTGCAATATAAAAGAGGTAAAAATTGATTTCATCCTTAGAAATTGATGAAACTTTGGACAGAGTATTCAGCCAATGACAGATCTGCCAGTAGTTTGTTGAAGGCATGTGCCAAACTATACGGACCCGTGTAACTATAAACTGTACGTCATCGTTTGAGAATTGTTTATAGTCGTATGTGGTTCTACTGTATTTGTATTGTAAATGTAAATTATTTATATCATATATGTGTCATTCAAATGTTTTGTCCCTGTGTTTTGTAAAGGTCAATAAAGGTCAATATTTATCTAAATGTATGCATTCATGTATTTATTTGTTTGTAAGATAATGTATGATTTGTTTTATTAGAATAGTTTGCCAATAATTTATTCTTCGTCATGTCTTTTTGTATATACTTCATGTTTTCAAGCAGAGGTTATGTTGTGGTCGTATGTTGTTTAACTGTGTTTGTATCATAAATGTATGTGATTATGTTAATGTGAATTATTTATAAATATCTTATTTGACATTCAAATATTTTGTACATGTGTTTTGTGGTCAATAATTATCTAAGTGTATACATTCAATGGTATGTATGTGTTTGTCAATAATGTATTTGTTTTATAAGAATATGTTGTAAATAATCTATGTCTTTTTTGTATATATTTTAAAATAAATTGTTTGCAAACGTGTGTCATTAAAACATTGCTTGTTTGTTTTTTATCTAATATATCAAAAAAAAATATTTAATCTGGTCCGAAATGTCCAAAACAATGGTCCGAAATGTCCAACACATGGTCCGAAATGTCCAACACATGGTCCGAAACGTCCAAATATCTGGTCCGAAATGTCCCAAAATCTGGTCCGAAACGTCCAAATATCTGGTCCGAAGTGTCTGGTCCGAAACGTCCATGGTCCGAAATGTCCTATTACCTTCATATTCAATTTCGTGACGAAAATGGCAATTCATTTCACGGCAACACGGGCAGGATATCGTAACAGGATACAATTTATTATCAAAGGAACATTTCTACATTCGTTACTAAATTTCACCTCATTTGAGACTCGGGAATTTAGACAGAACGATTGTAATCTACGATATGGATTTAATTTTCACAGACATATTTTTGTAGAAATGCAACTTTTTTGGGAGCTTTGAAAGTTTGAGACATCATCAGTCGGGAAACAGTTGTGCCGGCCTTTGGACACTGTTGGAACTAATGAGCAATTTACAAATCAGAATTTATCCACAAAACGTTGCTCGTCATATTACAGATTTCGTAGATACCATACTATTTACGAAGTCCTGAAAGTTACCATTGGTTTCAACAGTTCAAGTTTTTGTACAGATGCCAAAACAAAACATAAACGATCATTTCTTATGGCAATAAATGGTTCATGGTTGACATGTCTAAACACATTTACCTGTTTACACCAGATGGATGCCACCTGTTTACTCTGATCAGCTACGTCTCCTCAATCTATGAGAAATAAGAACAGCAGCTTGGTCGCCGCCCGAAGCATTTCATTTGTCAGACAATTTCAAAAGAATAAGTATTTTTGCTTTAACTATGTCTTTTTAGTTTATATTGTACTAAAGTCAGTAATTTTACTGCATTGTCTGCTGCCCTGTATACAAAACTATGAACAGATGAAGTCTAGGTTTGTTGCTTTGTCTTAACAAATTAATATAATAAGCTTTGATTATGACTCGAAGTAGATCTACTTAATGAATTTATCAGTGAGTAAATTTCTTTATATTTATATATATAAGGTTATTATTTGCCGGGTTTTTGTTTGTTGGTTCATCAATTATTCTCCTAATGAATAATGTACAAAGAATGCAGTATTAATCAGACATAATTTTTCTGGACACATAATTGAAATTCTATATTAGTCATGTTAGTTTATCACTTATTTCCAATTCATTTACAGTTCACACAAACTTCTTAATTAGAGTAGATAATAGTACATGTTGATTTTTCTGCTAGTCTACTATACATTTGTACACACATCATCATAGCAGTATTATTTAGCAACATGTTAAGTAACAGTCCAGATTGGAGCGATTTAGCCTTATTTCTTTTTAATTTTAAATTTTTTTTGTTGACAAGATCCAACTAAATACAGTAAGTGTGATTTAGTTTATAATTTCCATCATTCATTGTTTCACTGTTTTTTTTTTTGTTGTTTTTTTTTTTTCAGTCATTTGGAATTAAGATTCAAAATTACTGTTCTGGATTCTAATTTTGAATTTTATTCTACTATACACTTAATCAAATTTCTTTAAATTTACACTGACTTGAAATAATTTTCACTGGCCTAGGACCAGTGTTAAATTCTATGACTGGTTTTACAACAGTTTTAAACACGATTACAACACAAGGTTAGTTACAGTCCGTGTTAGTTGCATTTATACATATTCTAGTATACATGGCTTAATATATAGTTTTATGTCTGCGGGACTTAGTTAAGCATTTAGTACACATTTTCAACACAATATAGTTGACGATCCATGTGAGTGTGATTTTGTTTATAATTATAACGCATCGTATGATAAATGACTTGGTTTTATAATCCATGTCTTGCTTGATAAAAGTTTACAGTTCACACATAGTTTTTATTTAATACATCTTACATGTAAGTGTTGATTTTGTTTACAATTCGCACACCATCCCATGAAATACATGGCTCGGTTATAGACATGGTCTTTAGTGATTTAGTTTTAACCGATGATACACATGGTTTTAGTTTACACGCATATTTTCCACACATGGGTTTAGTTACACTCCTGGTGAGTGTGATTGAGTTTAGAGTTCTTCGCATATCCAATTATACATTGCTTAAGTTTATAGACAATGTCTGCGTGATTTAGTTTACAGTTCACGCCTAATTTCTACACATGGGTTTAGTTTACAGTCCATGTGAGTGTGATTTAGTTTACAGTTCACATATATCATATTATTATCATGGCTTAGTTAAAAGTCCATGTCTCGGCGTGATTTAGTTTACAGTTCACGCCTATTTAAACACATGGTTTTAGTTTACCGAGTCCATGTGAGTGTGCTTTAGTTTACAGTTCACACATATCCTAGTTGTACATGGTTTAGTTTAAAGCCCTGTTGCGTGATTTAATTTACAGTTCACAACTTATTTATTTCACACATGGTTAGTTTAACAGTCAGTTGCGAGTGTGATTTAGTTTATAGTTCACTCATAATTATCCTATCAGAATTAATTTAATAATCAATTACATTTCATACATTTAGTCTACCTTAATGACAAAATAATTCATATTTTTCAGATGAAACGGCCTAAATTCTTCCTTAGAACCTGTTATTCAGGTCCACAACAAGGAAAAGCCAAAATACCAAGAATGTCCAGTAAATCCTGCAAAAACGCAAGATAGTCGAAGGAGCAATCATTAT